GGAAATGCTGAAAGAAGGCAGAATTAGGTATGAGTCAAGGAGCATCTGTCAAGTGTTTTAAAAATCATCTTGACTTCTATTTTATAGGCTACAAGGACTACTGTTGAGGTTTATGGTTTTATCTAGTAAGTCAGTACCTGTTTCTAGATTTCACTTGTTTTTATTATGTCCAAGTTAATGCTTTGCTCCACGAGAAATTAAAAATGCAGAAGACAGAAGAACATATTTCCCAACTTCCTGCATACCCGTGTCTAAGATTAGACAAATCATACACATAAAATAATTTTGCTGAAGGTTGGCCCACTGATTTTCTATTAGATACAATTTGTGCTTTTGATGACCCTAAGTCCCTTTTCCTCACAAAGTTGTCACCGTTCAGTCAGCATAGACGGAGCAATGCTTATGCATAGTTCTCTTCAAGACCTCTTTCGTGCTACGTTCTTTAGATTATTCCATGTGGTAGTGATTTAAAAATGTTTGCAAATACATGCTTTGCTTTGTCTATTAAGGGTCTGGGGTTTGTTTTAAATCTGTTTAACCTGATGTGTATACTTGTAAATGTTATATTACATTCCCACCTTTTCATCAATGTATGATAATTTTTTGTGAGAAGTACTATTAAAGGTTTTGGGGTTTTTTTTACCTGAGATATGAAGGGAAATTTCCAAAGGCTTGGCTATTTTAAGGTTTGTGTTTCACAGTGACAGAAGAAAAAACAGAAATTCTTCAGAAAGTATAAAAAATAAGCTCCATCTTTCTTATCATCAATGTTGAGAAGCTGGGCTGTGTCTCTTCCCATAGATATCTCCTTGTAAAAGAATCGTAGCTGTTTTCTACTTTCTACAGATACATTGAACCAGACTTATATTTTGGTGCTTAGAAGATTAAAACACAATTTTTGTCTTTTTTTAAGAGGTCGCTTCAGTGATTACTGTGATGGTAGATATTCTTAAAATTTAGGAGTCAGTTTTAGTAGCTTTCCCCCCCCCCCCTTCTTTTGGAAAAAAACTGCATTGTGCATGCGAAGTGCCATGCCATAATGGATGTTTCCATAACCTCTTGGGATTCATCTTAAAAAAAGATATTAATATCTAACTATGTACATTATTCATGTTGTTTAGCTGTTATTGTATTGTATCACATAAACATGGTATAAGATTTGTTACATAATTGAATTGAAGTATTGGAACTAAAATATTTTGTGTCCTCTCTTCCCCTCTCCCGCTCCCTGTCTGAATTAGGGGTTGATATAGAGGCAGCTCGAAAAGAAGAAGAACGAATAATGCTACGAGATGCAAGACAATGGCTCAACAGTGGCCATATAAATGATGTCAGACATGCAAAATCTGGTGGTACAGCACTTCATGTAGCTGCTGCTAAGGGCTATACAGAAGTCTTAAAGTAAGTGTAGTTTAAATGGAAATTTTTCATATCTGATTGTCTCGTTGATGTAATGCTGCTTGGAATTGATAATATTGGACACTTCTGACTTTTAGGGGTTGTATCTTGGACAATAACAATCTCCAGAACTTTTCCTCAAAGCTTGATTTTATGTTTTCAAGCACTCATAAATCATGATGCTGTTAGCTTTCTACATTGTCATTTAAAATATGAACACAGTGTACATATGGAGCCTGAACACTTATTTAAAGGAAGAAAGTTGACAAAAAACTTGCCATGTTTCAAAAGCCAACTGCGTAAACAAGCTTAATACCTTTTTTAAAATGCCAGCTAGCATTCTGGTTGATGCATATTTTCAAGACACCATAGTTATTTGCCTACATAAATCAGAGTTTGTAATCCAGACTAAAGATTTTTAGACCTAATGAACAGAGAATTTAATTTTACTTTTTTGATTTTGTTGTTTAAAATCATGACTCTTGAAATCTTTTGTGGAAAGCTTCAGGCTTTTGGTGTCCCCTAATTCACAGGTAGCTTTTCATTAATACAAGTATATACTATAAGAGAGGTTTAATTTGTTTTTTATCAGAGCTCTGCTTTTATTGAAGTAAAACATACTTAATAATACTTTACTGTGATTGTAAATGTATTTGACTGCTTTAGCAGTAGTAGGAACAGTTACATATTGTAACATGAATGAAAATGAGCACACACCCTGACTGTGTAAGCATTGCTACCTTTAAGGTCTGCAGAGCCTTGTAATGCTTTGTCAACACAGGAGTTGAATGACAGAGCTTTTTTAATCGTTACAACCATTACACACAATTTACTGAATGGGAGTTCTGCTTCAAAAACCCCTGATGCTTCAACATGATGAAGAGAAATTATTCTGTTGGAAAAGAATAATTTTTATTTTCGAATAAAGGGGAGTAAGGGAGTTTTATCTATAACGGGTTTTTTTTAACGCTTTGAATTAGTGTTCTTTTTGTAGTCCAGTCCATGTACTTTTCCTAAGGGGGGGAGAAATATGTGCAGGCAATTTTCATGATGGTGTCAAATTATCAAAAATGTGTGCTCTGTGTAGGATGCAAGACTTTGCAGCTGAGCATGTGTGAAAGTTGACTCATTGGAGGATATTACTATATCGGCTCTTGAGAAACAGAGAGAATTTTGGGGGAAGAATACTTCACAGTTATGTGATTTTTAATAATTATGGACAGCGCTTCAGAGAGCTGATAGCCCTTTACATAAAACTCTTTGTCAGGTTAAATGTCTGTTGTCACTTTGACACATCAGAACCGTGCGGAATTTGAGCGTTGAATGCAGACAGAAAAGCATGTCTCTGTTTAAGGAGCTCTGCTCCCTCTTGGAGAGCAATTGAAGCATGTAAACACTACATTGTTACAACATCAAATGTTAATGACAGGAGGAGATGCAAGCTTCAAACAATTATGTCTAACAACTTTTGATGTTTTACAGCTCTCCTTTCCTTAAAAGGGCTTTTCTCTGTTACTGCACACATAGAGAAAAATATCTAACTCTATAGAAACAATGGACTTTGGATAAAGAGGAAGTGAATAAAGAAAATGGAAAAGGCTATTTTTCTTGAATTTTCCTTAAAAATATGTATACCTACTGAACAATGATGTTTCTGTGAGGAAATAAAATGAATCAGTTGCCAATAGCCCAGCTAAAATATGCATGATGAAAAAGAAGGGTATTATTGTAGAATAATTTTATGATTTTACGACAATTTATTTATCCCTGTCAGCAGTGTCAAGATCTAATTCTTTTAATTTCTTTAGGCTTTTAATACAGGCTCACTACGATGTAAATATTAAAGATTATGATGGCTGGACACCACTTCATGCTGCTGCTCACTGGGGTAAAGAAGAAGCATGTCGCATTTTAGTGGAAAACCTATGTGATATGGAGGCTGTCAACAAAGTGGTAGGATTTTTATGTAATCCTTGTCAAGATACAAAGTTCTGGTCTCTAAAGTGACTTTAGAAGCCAGGGTAAGAAAAGTAATGATAAACTGCTGTTTACTGTACGTGGAGCTTTATATAATGCATGCTTTGTCAAAACAGCATGTTTGTGTTCAAAACTAAATTCTCTGATTGTCTAAATTAATTTCTAGGCCCACTTTATGGTTAGTTCTGTATTAAATGATCCATGTAATCTTTGACACAGAAATTCAAATAGAATGGGTTTATTGACATTTCAGAGGTACAAAATTAGTGACTTGAAGGATTGCATACAGGCTTTCATTTGATCACTGAGGACAATGATGATGCCTGTGGGTAGTGTTTCTACTCTTAAAATCAGCTTGTGTTGGCATACTAAAGAGTTATCATTATACGCTGGTTTGGGTGCGCTGGAGGAAGCTTGTGGGCATCTCTGGACTCCCTAGACATAACTTGAATTATGCTTCCTAAGCTATATTTCCTCGACTTCTACGCAAAGGCCTGTGTAGCTTGCTGGCTTTGCAAGGTCTTGCTCCCAACAGATATAAACATACTCATGATTCACATGGGCATCAGAGGATCCAAAACTTTTCATTCAACTGTGTAAGTACTGAAGCTCTCTTTCTTCTCTTTGCAGTATGTTTTACAGATAGATTCTGATCTGTTTCCAATTTCTGTCAATATTGTGTATGTAAATTACCTGCCCAACTTTTTAAATGGATTCTTCATTGAATTTTTTCATAAACTTTTTAAAATAAATAAGGGAAATATGCAGATTCGGTGCATGGGCTGGTCTGTGCAAGCTAGGAAAGTTTTGCCTGTTGTGTTCTTAAGTAAGCTAGTAAGCATTTTTGCTTTTGGAGATATGAAGATTGAAAACTCCTCTGGATTTGGTTTCAATTGTAGGTGCTTAGCATCTCAGAGAACTCTGCCATTATTGTTCAGGCACTTGACTTCAGATATTAACTTTTATGGATTGGGTTTAGATATAACCTTCCAACTACAACAGTTTTTTGCAAAGTGTTTTTTTGTGGTCAAGGTAGGTGTAACTCATATTTTTTGGAAATAAACCCACTTAATAGCTACCTAAAAATAGAAGGCCAGATTAAGAACTGTAGTCATAATGCAAATATAAACTTGAGATAATTTTGTTGTTTAGTTTCCAGGTTAGTGCTGTGTTATACTAAATGGAATAGTTCAAATGTCAGAGGACCTCAAGCTGTTTTGGGTAATGCTTGTTGAAAGGTGCACGTGCTTCTGCTGTGTGGTCAGAAGTTTTATGGATGTGAAAATTAGTGGTTTGAAGGTCCATCCTTTCTAACCAGTTAAGATAGCCTTCATAGTGTAATTAGCAATATGTTTGCCTTCGGTTAACATTTCAAGAAGCTGAAATAAGCAGAGACAAATATGAACACCTTTAATTATCTTTATAAGCTGCTGTGACCAGTTTTAAATGACAGCTCTGTCTTTATTGCTGGTTATTGTACAGAAGTACTTATGTGACTGATCTTGTCATGATCCTCCCAACATTTCAGTGTGTCCACCCAGCGTGTTGATGCAGCTGCATTTATGCCAGTGGATCTAGGCCTTTGCCTGGATTCCAGCCTTTTTGTATTTGAATGCAAATTTCCAAATACAAAGCATTATATTGCACTATCAAAGTAAATTAGCCTTTCTTTGTGAATCTGTGTGAGCTTCAGCTCTTCTCGTCTTCAAGTAGAGATGAAGAAAGGGAATTTTTGAAATCTTTACCAATTCAGACCTTAAAGATAGAATCTCACGTCCTGTGGGCATCTGGTCTAGTTGAGAACTGCAGTGACTATGTAGATGTAAGATATGGCAAGCTGAAGAAATTCCAGCTGACAGCGTTACTCTGTGTTAATGAATCACATGATGATCTGTTTATTCAAGTACATGTGCCATGGAGATCATGCACTAAGGGAAGATAAGTACAAATGGTTGTAGCAGATCTTTTCTAAAATGAAATATAAAATGTAAATGAAGTTATACTGTAAAAATGTGAATGTATGATTACTTAAATTTAGTGTAGCTTGCTTAAATAATTTAAACTTTAAAAAAAGCAAGCTGAACTGCTTAGGATCCATCCATACAACTGCCATTGGAATAGTTGTTTGGAACTAATATTGTGAGAATCATGTTCTTTCAATCTACTTTACTTTTTATTGATAGCTTTTTTCCTTCAAAGGACAGCAAAATTTTATTGAAGTCATGATTTTATCTCTTGAAAAAGGTGTTTACTCATCAGGTATAGACATTGCTGTTTCAAATAAAAAAAGTAATACTGCAAAATCGTTTTCAACTACTGACAGACTAACAGTTTGTAATAGAGCTTGGCTTATACTTTCTAATTTCTCTCTCTGAATGTGCTCCTTACCTGTATCATCATGTGATAAGGCATTGTAATCTGTTATATTTGAATTCTGTTGTACAATTATGGTCTTTTACTTCTTCCCCTTCTCCAGGGGCAGACAGCGTTTGATGTGGCAGATGAAGATATTCTAGGATATTTAGAAGAATTACAAAAGAAGCAGAATCTGGTAGGCCTTTTGCAAATAAAGATATGTGTATATATATGTTATACTTTGATTATGGTATACAGCTCAGAGCAGCATATAGATTAAAAACAAAGGTTTGATTTTGAGTTTCAATTCAGGTAATGCCAGAGTCATCTCAAAAGATCTTTTATGCCCTTACTTGTCAATTATGGTGACCAAAAAGCGTTGGAAGAAAGAAGGTGCTCTTCTACTTGCCTTGTCCACTGGGCATTTTATGATCTGAAGCATCAACAATAAGCAACTTACTTGGAATAACAGTTTCTGAGATTTTAGAATTTTGAACTTTAACATTTTAAAAGCGTATACATATTCTAATGTTTGTAGTAGTTAGAGAAGATTTCCCTCCATTGGTAATTTTGTCACACTGATACCATTCTATCAATTTAACTGCATCATTCTGTATGTTTTGAAGCTTCATAGTGAAAAACGGGAAAAGAAATCTCCCCTAATTGAATCCACAGCCAACATGGATAATAATCAGACACAGAAAACATTCAAAAAGTAAGTAAACTAGGAAAAATGATAAGCTCTTAAAAAAGATAACTTTACAAAGTCCTACTCAACCAGTATTAGTAAATTTTTCAGGACTTAGTAAGTGTTTTTCTTTTCAAACTCAGTAAGGAGACATTGATTATGGAGCAAGAAAAGAATGCATCTAGTATAGAGTCTCTGGAGCAAGAAAAAGCAGATGAGGAAGAAGAGGGAAAGAAGGATGAGTCCAGTTGTTCTAGTGAAGAGGAAGAGGATGACGACTCAGAGTCCGAAGCAGAGACGGGTATGTTGTTTGGAGTATTGTCTTTCTTTAAGTTTTTACTTGATAAAATTACTTATTTAATATCACATTATACGGAGTTAAGTATCTTAAGTTTCACTTATTCTTTGCATTTCACTAAACTTGCAATCATTTTAAAGCAAATATATATATGTCTAAAGTCAGGTCATAGCAGAGATATCAAACAGATGTCTTTACTGGTAGCTGTTTAGGTTAAAGCTATTAACTTACTTATTTGACTGGCTTCTTAATAATTGATATTTTTAACTAAATAGTTGGAATAATGTAAGACTGAAGTAGCATGTCAGAAAACATTGAAGAAGTTAGAAGATCAAATCAGAAATGAAGGCTTCATAGCAGTGTTTGCTTGAGCAGTGTTTGCTTGTGGAACTGGTGTAAAGATGGGAACAGCAGAAGTGCAAACATTCTCTTTTGTTCTTGTAATTACCAATTAACCTGGCAGTCTTTATTCAGGTATTCATAAAGTAACGGTGCATATATTTTCAGTGTGTACTGAAATAAACTTTTAAAGGTGCTGTTTTAATGTTAACAGTTATTTCATAAACAACTTCATTTCAAGAGGAATGTTCTTTGAAAAGTTGTATGCAAAGAAACACATTGTTCTGTACTTCTCTCTTCAAGGGAATTTATGTGGGTTTTTTCTTGAACAATTATCAAAGTCTTAAAGCAAGTAGTAATCTAAGAACAGCGTAGCATCTTTTTCTTACAAATCAGAAAACAGATGTTGGGCAATCAGTGTTTTAAAGATGTATGTTCAATCCTAATAAAGAATTTTAGAATTACAGTGCAGCAGTACAATAGTTAGACATAGATGTCATTAGAAATCTCTTCTTGATATTTTATACTTCCGCTTTTTAACATAAGTAACCCTTTTTGGTGAGCTGTCAGTTCTCATTTTAAAACATTCTTTCTAATTTCTTCACCTGAAGAGATAACCCTAAGGAGGGATCTTAGAGCTAACCAATACATCATAAATATCTAACATAGGCAGAAATAAAAATAAATTGTGAAACTGAACTATCTATTATGGTTTAATTATTTTTGTATTTTCAAATAAACCAGCATTTCATTGTTAAGCTGTCAAGCTTTGTAATTAGTCTTTCACCTTAGTATACTTGCATCCCTTATTTTCAGAGACTGAGCTTTGATAAACTTAAAACACTTGTAATGTATAACATGTAGTAATTTCTCAGGCACTGAGCTAACTGTAATGTCTCCTGAACTTTATGACTCTGGTAACTGTGTTCTCTTCGTTACCAGTAGATAGTTTGTGCCAGGAAAATTTGACTGTGACACAAGAATTAATTTATGTAAACTTTGGGTTTTTTAATATCAGCAAGGCTTTATCATACTTTATTTGGCAAGCTAGACTAAGCTTTTCCCTGTAGAGCTGCATCTCTAAGTTCCAAGCTTGTACTTTCCCTTTTTTTCCCGTTATTCAGCTTAAGGTAGTTTTCTAGTGAAAAATTTTAAGATTATAAAGAACATTCTGATTGTAAAATATTTTAGCAGTGTTCAATATTCTGAAGTACTGGAAACTGTGATTTCTAATCTATTGGGATATTTGAAATGTTTATCTAAAACTTACATTGTGGTTCATTGATTATGTGAAAATACAGTTTAAAAATAAATACATTTCTATCTGTAAGACCAAGAAGGGAAATATGCATATGAAGCTAGCATCAATAAAGGACAGAGAAACAAGCTGAAAAATAAAATTTTCAGCCGTTCAGGTGTTTTAACTAACTTTGAGATAGCTTAATATTTTTTGAAAGTTAGTCAATATTAGCTTGATCGTGCATACAACTATGTTCTTGCTGTTCTTGAAATAATTTCAGAATACAGTTGTGAAAAATCCATTTTTCTCCTTACATGCTTTCACTCCTGATAACTTTTTCTGTATATTTTAAAGCTGTATATCATTAATTTGCACATTTCCAGCAGATCTGTCTGTACATCATCTCAAATCCTACTGTCAGTCTGCATTGCCCTATTGAACTTTTTATCACCATGACCTAGAAGTTTACCACCATTTATTTTCACTTGCATTTAAAAAGAACTTTCCGTTAAATGCACAGTTAGTCATGTAAGCTGATTTTTTAATGGTTGTATATTTACTGCATAAATAATTATTCATAGCTTCTGTTCAACTATGTCCATAACTAAACCAAGTGTGTAACAGCAATACCATTAATAACACGATTTCCAATCATAGATTGGAAACCATAAATTGGTGGAATTTGAATGTTAGAGCGAGAATGCTGTATGAAAACATTGCATACTTTCTAAATTAACTGCTCCTCTGCTGTATGGGTAGTGTAGACTTAAAGGTATGTTTATAGTAGGGCCAAAACCAATGGGGATTGAACCCCGCATTGCTCCATACTGCACAGATAGGATGTAGCATCCTACTCCAAAGAATGTGCAATTTGAATAGGTGAAACAGAAGTGAAGTGTAAGATTATGAAGCTCAAGCAAGTGCAGCGACAACAGTTGTACCACAACCGTGACACTTTCTGGATGTTTGTGTAAGAGGGGTTAAGGTACACGGACAAAGGGACAGAGGAAGAAATGTGGGCAGGAAGGACAAAGCAGAAGGGAGTAGATTAGGTAGACAGTGAAACTTAGGCAGGAAAAACAAGGGACAAAGATGGAATGAAGCAAATCGGAAGTCAGAGCTCTGGAAAGCAAGTCCCTGCCTCAGCTTATTCTAGTGACCAGAATCCCTGGCTGGGTTCTCTGTGCAGTTAATTATTTCTTTGCACTCAACATACACAGTTATCCAAAATAAATGTTTTACTTTGTATTAGCATCTTCTGTAGTTCAAATTAACTATTACATGCCAACATACCTCCTGCTGTTAATTTTTTATGGTCATTAGACATCTGCTAAAATATAGGCTGTCTGGAGAGGCTGTGGAATCTGTCTCAGAGGTTTTCAAGACCTGATTCATCAAAGCCCTGGCAACCTGGTTTGTACTCAATATTGACCCTACTTTGAGTAGGAGGTTGAATTAGGTGACCTCCTGAGGTCACTTTCAACCCAAATGATTCTGTGGGTCTGTGTCTTTGCATCTCTGAGTGTTTAACACTTGCTGAATAACACACACACAAAAAAAAAGTTATGTGCATGGCTGTTATGGAAGAAAGATGGACCTAAGATACAGATTGGGGGTGAGGAGGGAAAACACTGAGAAATAAAAAATACTGTTCAAAAAGTTGACTGTCGAATTTCTTCAAAAGAAATTCAACTCTGTGTTGTAGAAGTGAAGAAATTGTGAGTGAAAAATTAAAATTAAACTCTCATAACTATTTTGCAGATAAGACCAAAACCTTGGCAGCTGTAACTAATAACGCAAATACTACAAGTACACAATCGGCATCGGTAGCTGTGACAGCGCCTTCAGTAGCCGGTGGCCAAGGGGCACCTACATCACCTGTTAAGAAGGTAAAATAAAATACCTTTCTCATGATTTTAGATTTGTGTTCTTCTGTGTAAGCATGTGTTTTGATTCTTGTGTAAAAAGTAGATTGGGTTATCCAGTGAATTGATGAAAATAGGCACAGATTCCTAAAATATTTTGTGTTTTTCTGTAGAAACTGTTCATTTGTTTAAATTTTTGAATGGTTTTGATTCTAAACAGGGATCTAAAATACAGAACTATGAAACAGATGAACATAAGATCCTTTTAAAAAAAGGAAAAATCTGTTGCACAGTGAGTGGAGGTCTTGTTTTTCTGAAGCTAAACTTCATCTTTTGAAAGTCTTTTCTATGCCAGACTCCTCCAGAATTTTTAGAAACTACAGTTCTATTCTGTCTCTGTGGCTATATTTGTGATGCAGTTAAGATTAAGACAAGGGAGGCAGGCGTGACTTAGGTACTTTCAGGAGTAGTCAGCTAGTGCTTAGGCACAGAAGTTGAAAATGATACCTGAAATAAGAAGTAGAAAGTACTGTAGGTCCCAACCCTGATTTCAATATGGTTACGACCTCATGGAAGAGCTGGAGAATTAGGACACATGATTTAATCAGTGCACAACTCAAAAACACACCTAGCAAAGCCATATTGCATGCAGGAAGCTTTTTACAGCTTGATGTGGAAAGTTAATTGGAATGAATTTAAGTTTTGCTTGTCAAAGGGAAAATATGTATGCCTACAGAAAAAAATTTGCAGTAGATAATAATGCATAGTCAGAAGGTGGTACAAGTCAAACCTTTAAAATGTCAAAGCACAATGGATAGTAAGCCAGTAAGGTTTCATTTGCCAATCATTACAGCTTTTCTATACACATCATAGTCAAAGTGTAACCCTCTACTGATGCTTCTGAAAAGCATGTTCAGGAGAAATGGTAGCCATGATATATTGAAGTCACAGTAGAAAGAGAAGACATATTGCTGGGGTAATAGTAGGTATTTTATTTAGCTCCCAGGAGCTTATTGGAGTGATACTTTCATACTCACAATAGAACCTAATGGTGATTCATCTTAGAAAGTATACTTTAATGTAACGGATGCAGGGAATATATTGCCCATCTGCATCATATTATGTGATACTGTACAATAGGGTTGGGCCAACCTTCCTGATCCCAAGAGCTGCTTTACAAAAATCATTGTGACTGATGTCCACAAGATTGATCTCAAAAAAACCATGACAGCAAAAGGGGAATTGTGGGCATGGCTCACCGGCAGGAATGACTACTGTTTCCCCTCGCTGAGCATTGTGGCTGTGACAGCTAGATTCCAGGGTAATTTTGTGGCATTAATCTAAACAGTTCCTGCTGGCTCAATAAGAAAATTAAGGTTCTCTGTCATGGAAGCTGCATTTGCATTGCTCAGGAGCTGTGTAGAACTCAAGAGCCACAAGTTCTCCACATAAACCATAGCAAATGCATGAGAGAGGGAAGACGTTGTGAGTAATTGCTGGTTTGCTGACTGTGCCTAACTGGAGTGAATTTAAATATATAGTGTGAATTTTACTGCAAGGAAATAGACCTACTTTACGTAGTTTATTTTTTTAAATCACTTAGTAATACAAGCATTTGTGACAGTTGGGCCGTTTAACTGATGTGCTCTCACCCAATTTTTTTACTGCACTTCATTATCTTTGCACGCTGGAGATTCTAAGATTTAACTCTTCAAACACTTCATTTTTTCATGTAATTGTCTGACCTTCATCTTGAAGTCAAAAGTTTCCTAGCATGTCCCTTCCAATCAATTGATTTCATATTATGCAAAATCCTTTTTAAGGTATATGACTTTCAGCAATAGGGTGTTACCAAATTGTTGCTAACTGGGGTGTGATCAAAATCTGTAGCTACAAAATAAATGCACATTTATATCAAGACTGATCATCTTGTAACACAGCATGTATTTGTGACCTAGAGAAGCAGTTGCAGCTCATATCAATGAACAAAAAGGCTTTAAACTGTTTTTACTAATGAAGGGAAAACAGCACTTTATATGTGATCTTGCACCTGCCTTTTCAGGTTTGCACCATCTGTGCTACTGCAGCTGCCTTTCTGCTTTTACACCATAGATGGCCAAACCGTATGTTGCTCACAAGTGGTGCAGATGCAGTGTACTAGGCTTGAATTTGGGTTAGTCTATATGTCATTCAGTAATGCTGCTTTCTGTCTGAGGGTACTGAAATAGGGCGAGTTTGGGAGTGAAGGTATGGGTTTGATAGCTAAGCCAGCATGGGATGTGATTGAATGAAATATGATAAGAAGATAAGAGTATATTAGTATGAATCTTCCAGTACTCTCAATCATATGAGGATTTAGGCCATAGACCTTGTTAGGTCAACAGGCTTTGCTGTCCTCTTCTCTGCAAACTGTAATTCTGTCTCTGAATTAGCTAAACATGCTGTGTTGTGTTTAATAAGCATCTGTTACTAAGTTGTTAAGTCTCTTACTGCTTTTTGGTATTTTGTGCTGTAATGAAGAGCTGCATAACATAAATGTAGGAACAAACTATGTGGTTTTAAAACAACCTTTTGTTTCTATTTTCGATTCTTTCAATCTTCATCTTTGTCTTGTCTTAATTGGCTTCAGTATGATTTCATTCCTCCTATCATGCCTGTCATGGAGTCAGTAGATCCTGCATCATGGAGGCAGGGCTTGCGCAAAACTGGCATTGTTCTTGTGCCCAATAAGGGTGAAAAAACTATGGTGAGGTTCTGGTGTGCACAGGTTTGTGTACTACAGGTTGCAAAATAACATATTTAATCAAAATGTTGATACTGGATTTGCATGTTTTTAAGTTTGCATCTCATGATCACAGTGTGTATTACAAAGTGTGGGTTTTTCTAAGCTAACTTATAAAGGAGTAGTATACCTTGACCAGTCTTACATTTCTTATCTCATTAACTAATTTAAGAGAAGAGTGCATAGGTTGTCTCTCACCACAACTCCCCTATGAATTCAACACTTCTGTGATTACTAAAAACAGTTGTGTTCCCAGACCTCCGCAAGGAGCATGAATTACCACAGGTAATGTAAATTAATAATATAAATTTATTTACATGTGTTTTATAGTTTCCAACATCTACAACCAAGGTTTCTCCCAAAGATGAAGAGAGGAAAGATGAATCTCCTGCTTCGTGGAGGTTAGGTCTTAGAAAAACTGGTAGTTATGGTGCACTTGCAGAGATTACTGCTTCCAAAGAAGCTCAGAAAGAAAAGGACTCTGCAGGTGTTATGCGTTCTGCTTCAAGTCCTAGACTTTCCTCCTCATTGGACAACAAAGAAAAGGTAATCATTTTCAGTGTGAAACATTTTGAGAAACTGATCTACCTTACTTAGAATAGATGATTATGATGTATTGTAGAAGTAAGAAATTCTCTGTAGACTGTTTGACACATCTGTTGTTCACCAAAATTCCGAAAAGTTGAATTATGCAGCTTCTGTGGAGTCTCTTGAAAAGTGTAGTGTGCACCTTCATTGCCTGGTGACCTGATACATGCATAGGTCTGGGGCTTTTCCCTTTTTGAGACTTGCAATGCTAGTAGTAGTTTTTACAGTTAAGGGAGATCAGAGCTTTGATAGTTTCAGCATCACTTGGAGAGTGATGTTGAAAGAATCTTACAGAAAAGGAGTCTCTTCTTGTATTCCATAGTCATTTTTTTATTTACAAACATTTAGTTCTATAATTAAACATGAATACTAAACCAAGTGAAGGACTAATTTGGAACAGGTAACTGAACAGTATAGAACTTGTGGTTCTGTTTCAAGTACAAACGTTCAAATGTTTTCAGGATTAAGAATCATGCCGTGCCCTATTCTACTCTATAAAAATACTAAACCAGTTGCTTTCAGTAGTCAGAGTTAGAATTGTACTGCACTGCAGTAAAGCAGAAAAAAGAGAAATCAGGTCATTTGCATCACTGGAATGAAAACATACAGTTTCCTTTTCCTATTATAGTCTAAAGCTTAAAACTCAGTTGTATAATCAGGTCACACTAAATACAGCTGAAGTTGTCATAATGATGATTTTCCAGCCAATAGCAGTATAATCAATAATAGTAACGCTTAAAAAATACATGTCTTTTAGGAGAAAGATGGAAAAGGAACTCGACTTGCATATGTTGCACCTACAATACCAAGACGACTGGCCAGTACCTCTGACATTGATGAAAAAGAAAACAGGTGACTCTGAAGTTACAATTTCTGTTAAATATAAAATTACTTGATTTTTAGAGTGGCTGACAAACTTACAGATTTTAAGACAATGCTAATTCATAGCATTATCCTGCTCTATAGATTATGTTAGTCTGTAGGCTAATCCAATTCCTGAAGGGTTTTGATCTTGTAGATTATAACCACCCTTCTTAAAATGCAAATTATTTTATGACAAGAGCAGAACTGGACAATGAGTGTTGTCTTCTTGGGAGAGAAAATAATTAAAATCCAAAATACGAAGTCATAAACTTTAAGTTATTGAAGGATGCTAAAAGCATTTTACTGCTTTGTCTTGAGCCATGGAGTGCTGCTACTGGGCTCCATTATTACTTCTGATAATAATAAAATGCTGTGTTTCTTACAGTCTTTGCTTAAAACTGTATCGTGGAGCAGCAATGATTTACAAAAATCATAGTTAAGTTACAAAAGCAATTCTGTTTTTCTAGTGTACATGTTGACCTTTCATCTTCTTTTGGAGATTTTTACTTTCTTTGCTGATATTTCTTCTGTAGCTTTCAGTATAAAACAAAAAGTTCAGGTGCATAGGCTTGCTCCTTGTTAGGATTTGGGGTACTTTGATGGCATATTTACATTGTCAGAACCTTCCCTTTTTTTCACTTCTCTCCTTTATTGAGGTTCTGCTCAGACATTTTCTTGAGTTAATATAGAATGCATAATACAAAACTTAGAAGTCCCGAATGTCATTTCTGTTGGGTCCTATCTAGATAGCTGGATATTAGGTGACCTGAACTGAAAATCCTCTCATTGCTCAAAATGTGCTATTACAGTCATTGTCTGTAAGACTGATAAATCTCCTTATGTCTGAAGAGGAGCTACTCTGTTGCTACCTTTGAAAATGGTTCATTTCGGCACAAATGCAAGATAAATACTAGCTTTTCTTATGCTTGCAGAATGCTGTTGCCTAAGTTTAGTATCTGGGTGACAAATTCTGTTTTGAAACAGCGATATTCCAGCTCTCACGCTCCCCTAAAGTTCAGCTTAGTTTGTTAGCATCTCTCATGTTACTTGGCCAGATTTTTTAAATCTGTATTTCTCTAACAGGGCAGTTTGTAGTTTCTGTTTGTGCTTATCATTCTCTGGAGTACTATATTCTTTGAGGCTGAGTTTTGGGTTGTTTCTAAGAGAGATGATGATTATTATTATTATTTTAATTTTTATTCTTTTGAGATCTTCTCAAAAACTCTTGTTCTCCAAGTGTCTTAACCAGATGTTACCTTAAGATTGGGATAAATATTTCATTACATTTTTATTTCTTAGAAGCTGTTACTGCTTGTAACAAAGGGATTAAATTTTGCTTCAGTGTTGAGGTTTATTTGTGTCCTTGATGTGCCAGTCTTAACCATCATGGCTTATTCATGGACACAGTTCCAAAAGTGGGTATCAGCAATAGCATATTTTTCCTCATGTGCATCGGGTGAACTGGGATCATCAGTCTTGTTAGTCCGAGCGCTGATCAAACAGTTGACCTGAGAACTTTCTGTATTCCTTGGTGTACCAGAGATGAAGCCTACTTTTAGGCCAGCCTGTGTCAGCACCAATACTTTGCCTAGTGTATGATGTGGCAGACAACCCAGCTTACTTACTTGAAGCCGTAAGAGATTTTTGACATTTAGTCTGACCTTCTCTACATTTAGAATTTAACCACCTGCCTCACAGGTGCCTTAATAAATTATTAAGGTTTCTGCCTTTGTCCCAGATCTCTGTCCTTGTTGCTTATCTTAGTGCTGAGTTCTTGTTCTACCTGTCTGAACACCTGCTCATCTGGCTTATCGATGATGTAGTGTAATCCAGCTAACATCCTACTGTGAGTAATGGAAAGGACTTTCAAGATGAATCCCAGCTGGGCTTCTAGAGTAACAAATCTCAGGCATCCAGCCTCGGTCGAGTAGCCAATGGTACAGCAAAACTGCTGGCAAAGAGAAACTTTCATTAATTATTAAAAAATTGTCATGCAGCAGGTCCTTTCTGTGGTAGATGATATATGAGATTTTGTGTTTCTCTTTGGTGGTAAGAGATAATGCTGCACTCGCTTGTGTTTGATCCTTTTCTAAAGTTGTTTCTGATGCAGAAGTGCTAGCATAGAGTTTTGTGCAAAAAGAGATACATTCTGAAGGCCAAAGGTATCTGAACGTAAAATACAGTTTTACAAAATTTTGATTTATTTTCCCTCGCACACCTGATTTCCTTTTATGTATCGTTTTGTGAAAGACTTTTTTTTTCTTCCTTTTATATGAACTTTACTTCAAACCTTGAGCTGATTTTTTTTTTTTTTTTTTTAGAAATTCAGTTTTTGGCATCTCAGGGTAGTTTTTCTAAGTACATTTTTTGCAAGGTTATTTCTTTCTGCTATAAACTGCAGCAACAGGCTGGAAATTCCTTATGACTAAAGTAATGTCAGCTAGTGATACGTGACAGGCCACTCAGGAATGGCTACTGCAGGCCTGTTTACACTAGTCTACAGTATCATGAGTTCTAAAGGCTAGTCAGCTTTTGAACTTCTCGTACCATCCAAGAATGAAAAAAACCCCATGAAATCAATTTCTAAAAAAAACCAGTACTTTTCCCTTTACTGCACTGGATAATGTCAGGAGCAGATAGAAAATCCTCTTTTTCCTTTTTTGAGAAAAACAAAGCCAGCAATGGTCACAGATAAAAGCTGATGGTTGATTTCATGTTGATTAAATCCTCTTTAGCAGTTTTTCTTTTGACGCTACTTTTCTATTATGTTTCTAACAGTGTCGGTATGAATGCAGTGTTTTTCCACAGCAGCTTGAAAATAATTGTCCAGACAGGAAATTTTATGCTGTTCCGCATGTTTATGTTTATTTTAAGTGTGTTATCCAGGGCTTTAATCTTTAATTTGAACCTCCTTTTCAGCTCGCATCAAGAACAACCTTCTTTAATATGACTTTGATAAAATGTTTTTTTACAGGGACTCGTCTGCTAGCTCAATACGTGGTGGCAGTTCCTACACCAGGAGAAAATGGGAGGAAGATGTCAAGAAAAACAGTTTGAATGAAGGTCCTACATCATTAAACACAAGTTATCAAAGAAGGTATGGGATTTTTCTCTTGTCTCTTTTTTTATCAAAATAAGCTTACTAATTTAAAGAAACAAATTAGATACTCAATCACTTTGTAAGGACAGTTTAAAATTGAATGGTGACATGTTAAAATGTTGTTCAGGATAATGGTGAAGTATGTACTCACACTTGTGGTGATTTTAAAGCTATATACCATTTTTACTAGCTTAGAGTGTTGCAGCAACTGCTATAATTAATATTATATGCTTCCTTTTTCCTATTGTTTATTGCAGTTTGAGATTCATTTGACTCCAGATTAGTTCAGTAGCCAAAGATAACTATTTTAAACGTTGGAATAGAAGATATTCTGCTTGATGTCTGAAAAGGAGAAAAACATTGTCTCTGTTGAATTTTGGGTTTGCATGACAGTATCGGAGGTCTTGGGCTGCTCTCCATAATGGTAGATTGTAGCCACACCTGCCTGGAGTACGAGCATCGTAGAACGCATACGTAAAACTAACTTGACTGCAAGGAAATGATGATTAATATGAAAATAGTTTTCAGGTGTGTGTGATTCTTATCTTGCAGGATTTTCTCATAAGGAATCGTATCCTGCAAACATATACATGATTAACTGTACTCCATTGTGTAGTTTCAGTGTAGCTGTTTGAGTAAAGTTCTTCATTGGAATTAGTGGAGCAATAAATATCGAAAACGAGTAGATCAAAAGAAAATATTGTCGTTCAGGTAGCTAAGCTGAATGTTGATCTGTGCTGATGATGTACATGGTGATAGGTACTTAACTTTTTTTTTTTGTCTCGACATTGATGTTATCACTGGCATGTAGTCTGGCTGTTTCATACAGCATAACGCATCTTACATCTTTGTTAACCTCCTGCCTTAAAAAGAAAACTCAATGTTCCTGACTTCAGGCGTAGGAAAGATGTTGCACAGGTTTCCTGTTCCAGATGGAAAATATCAACAGTTGATGCATAAGAAAAATCTTTGCATGTTAGCTTTTATCAATATTTATGCTCCCGTCTTCAAAAAAAATGTACTCATCACTTTAAAATTGCACATGGTGCTTTAATGGTGTATTTCCTTAGTTGTTCTTGTACAATTATTTTTTCTTTATCATTTTAGAATTGATAGTAATAGAAAAAATGGTCAATTGCAGAATGACAAAGAAGCATCTTTCCTTAAATCTTTTGCAGTTAGTAATATGATGCTCTGTCTGTCGTAGCTGTGGATTCTGAGGTTTAGTCATGGGCAAACATCCTGGCTTGGTAATGCAAAATTTGTTTAGCCAGAACCAGTGAATAAAAATGTGGAAACCACTGGATCTTCTTTGCAACTTGAAGAGCAAGAGAAGAGCATGAGTGGGAGGTTAATCTTTCTGGGAATGATTAAAGTTTTTTTTAAAAATAAGCAGTACATTTAATTGGTTGAAAATTTTAAGAGGAGTGATATTGATGACATTTTCTTTTCTGACAAGCTGTGGAATAAAATCCTGCATTTTCTGAGGTATTCAGTGTGGGTGAAACAGCAGCTTAAAAATGGGACATTAGGGGCCCTACGTGAATACTTCAGTAGATGCGATCAAGACAGTCATACATAAACCAGTGAGATTCCATTCTTTATCTGCTCTTCTTGCGGAGAAATGGTTCGAGACTAAGGGACACTTCTGCTGCCCTCTGAAGTCATAAATTGAAAGTTCTAGTCAAGAAAATAGTGAAGAAAATGGCTTTTGGAAATGCTTCTTTTGCCTCAGAAGTTTTTGAGACTCAACTGAGACTCAGAATACATGGGCAGGAATTTAATGGATCATTCACAGCTTTGTGATATTTTCGGGAGCAAAGATGAGTAATCTAGTACACTCATTGTACATGTCTCTCCTTCAGTGGCTCCTTTGGTAGAAGACAAGATGATTTGATTAGTTCTAATGTTCCAAGTACTGCATCAACAGTTACCTCTTCTGCTGGTCTTCAGAAAACACTGCCTGCCAGCGCAAACACTACTACAAAGAGTACAACGGGTTCTACTTCAGCAGGTGTACAAAGCAGGTAATGGCACCAGCACACTTCTTTTTTTCCCTTTTTTTTGTCAGGTCTACTGTGTGCTTATGTATGTGCATGCGTTCTTGTTTAGTAGATCCTGGGGTTCTGGATTTTTTCACTTTCCCGTTAAATTTGTTTTAATTTTACACAATTTGGCTCAAAAATTGTGAATGGCTTTCTACTGTAAAGTGACAGCCATGGTGGCATAAAAGAATAAATCTATTGTTAGAAGGGCGTGAAGAATAAAAGTTCAGTTATTGTGAACTGCTCAATTCTTAATTTATTCAATTTAATAGCTCAAGTTGAGCTTTCATAGTAGAGATATTTCTCAGTTCGCTTTTAAAAAAATCCATCCCTCAATTTACATGTTATTAGTTGTTTAGTAAAGTGCTTTCATTGTTTAGCTGTTTCCTTTTCTCTTTTTTTGTGTTGCTGCTTGTTATGCTGTAGTACCTCAAATCGTTTGTGGGCTGAGGATAGTACTGAGAAAGAAAAGGACAGTGTTCCTACAGCAGTGACCGTTCCTGTTGCACCATCTGTTGTAAATGCTACAACCACTACCACAGCCATGACTACAGCTACTTCTGGCACTGTGTCCTCAACATCAGAGGTCAGGGAGAGACGGAGGTGTGTAAAGGTCCTAAGAGTAATGTTGCTCTTATTCAAAAGTTATATTATTTTTTTCTTATTTAAAGGAATGTGTTGGTGGTTACCACAAATTTGGATAGTAGACTATGTAAAGCAGCATTGTTTGCTTGTTGTGTATTGAAACAACTAGCTACGTGCCTCAGTTTATGTGAGAGCATGGTACTGGTAGAGACCATTCGTGAAATTTAAACTTTGATATTGTATATTTTTGACTGGCCTTTGGTTCTCTTTCAATATGTGGTGTTTTCATATTTGTATTTCTGTTAATAGATTAAATGAGTCCTCTTAAAAATATCTGTAATGGAACGATGTAAAAAGACTGGATTAAAAATAAGAAAATCAATAATTAATCACTTACTACAAGTACAGTGCTGCTGATTGAGCTACTGTGCCCCTGGCGGTATGCTAATACGTTACAACGTAGCATTTTTTCAGTCATTTTGTGTGCCTGGCACTAATGAGAAAAGAGTATTGAACCCAACACATTCTGTTTATTTTATTGCATCATTTAGGGTCTCTTCTACTTGAAACATAATATACACTTGTAAATACAATGGTTTAAGAGTTATTCAGTATGAAGAATGAGTACGAAGTGGATGTAAGTCTTATTTGAAGAATATGGTGGGTTTTCTGTTACAGTTACACGGAGGATGAGTTAAGATTGCATATTTATGTTTCTGTAAAGAGTTGTTAAATGCTATTTATGGAAGCAAAAATAAGAGTTCACAAGGTTGTTAATTCCTGTTAGCTTTCCCTGGGTGGTTCTTCTGGATGTTTATAAATGTTTATCCTTTAACCTTTTCGCTGAAATGTAAGTTCAGATTTCTGTGTTGCTCCTGTAGTAATTTTGAAATATAACTCCTGTATCAGTGCCAAATGTGTGTACCACTGTACGTTCATGGAGGTAATGAAGCTGTTTGTTGTTACAGAAGAAACCTGCATTCTTTTAATACACTTAAGGCAGCAACAACATTCCTTATAGCTTTCGACCTTTTTAGGATAGTCTGTTTTCCATAGTCTTTCTTTAATACCCAAAATTGAGATGAAATAACTTCTGTGAAATAGGGATTTATTATTTTTTTTAATTCCCCACAGTGATTCAGGAGGTGCCCACAAGTGCTTACAACCCATTTCAGTAACAACCGTAGTCAGAATCTGCATTTTCCTTAGTGAAATTTGACTGAACCTGACAAATCAAAAGCAAAACCAACAAAACGTATCTTTTTTCAAAAGTAGTTTCAATTTTAAAGTGCAAATGCTATTTCAGTCTTATATGAGCTAGAAAAGCAAGGAAGTTTAGCATTAACGCTTTTGCCGTCTCGTTTGCTCACTAGTGTGTGTATACTAATGCGCATATACTACATACATTTTCGATGCCTGCAGTTGGCCTGAAATTCCTTGTTTTTATCTGACTCCGGGCCAATTGTGTAATACACTGTTGCAGGTGCGTTCTTGATGGCATATTAAAATATCCATTAAATCTTAGCAATCAGCAAAACTGGAATAATTACTGTGTGCATGTGGGAAGGTAGTGCTCTAAATATCAGCACATGCCTGTCTGTATATATACAGATACATATGTGCATCTGTATGTTTGTATGCACATGAAAAACTTGTCTGTATATGAAATACTATATGCTAAATATTTGCTTAAGAAATGAAGTTGGTTAATCTGCATTTATAGACTGAAAGTATGTATTTAGAAATTATGTTTGAAATAATATTTCAAAGAATATTTGAAAAGTAAAGACATTATAAACTACTTTTAGTAATGAAGCATGTAATGGTGCATACTTTTGGAATAGCTGAAGAAGCTATAATCTTTATCTAATTTTTAGAATTGGTTTAGAGAAACAGGGAAGAGAATGACAAATTTGAATCTTTAAATCTTTGTATCGTGAATAATACTGGATAGGTAACCTGCATGGCATGCACAAGGGATGCCAGGGAAGGGCACATCCTACTCTGACAGTGCCTGTAGTGCGCACCTGGCAAGCTGAGAGTTTTCTTTTTCCCTCAGTGAGGTTTAAGGTATTTCAGATTTACTGGAAGGTAGGATTATGTACACCAGTTACTAAAGAGCAAGTTATATGGAGTAATTTGTAGCAATTTTCAAGCTCTAAAGATTATACCTGCTCTGCAATCAAAACCTCCTAGGTAGTTAATATTTCAGGTCTTATTAGCAGCTAACAGGCACCCTTTTCCTAATATAGAAAGGGCCTAGGGCTCTAGGGGAATGGAAAGTCTATCAAAAATGGGATTTGCAAGAGAACAGGATAGGGAAATCAAATTAATATAGTAGATTTTTTTTTAAGATGTGTCATAAGACAGGAGATGTTTCTACATTGGTAGGTATAGCAGCTAGTTGTAAATATTTTCCTGTGTTTTGAGGGTAATTTGTTTAGTATAGAACATGGTTAGTAATCCATAAGTCTGTGTAAATGAAGTTTATTTTTAACACTTAGAATTCTTTTAGAACTGTTTTTAGTATGTGCTAAGGCTAACAAATGTATAATTAGGTGACCAAAGAACTGCTCTTTCCATAGATAAATGATTTAAATATTAATAGGTGATGGCTTTTGAAACATAACCACTAGCCAATTACTGAATCATTCGCCAATTACTCTTAACTAATGACATTTAAAAATATAGAAAATCAGAAAATATTACAGAATCTGATGCTACTGTGAATGCAGCTAATTTTATGATCTAAGGACGCTCAGAGAGGTTTTGTGTTTAAAGCAACCTTTTAGCAACCTTCTGATTTTGCTTCTTCCAATTTTTCTAATTTTTAGCTAATCTAAGGATTTAAAAAAAAGTTAAACTATAACAGCATTCTGAGATATTCTGTAATAGAAAATTAGCAAATGCATTAAAAACTTACGTTCTTTCGTGATGGTTTTACATGCATGCATATATACATGCATGTTATATACATACATATATATGTTATATACATACAAATCTATACATTTATGCATGTGTAAGTATATTTTTTTTTTTTTTTTGTAACACCAATTAACCTGGATTAGAGAATTTCTTTAAAGAGTCCAGGCCTTCTGTGTCTACTTCAGTAGCTTTGATTACAATTACCTGCTTTTACTTTGCAGGATTTTTGTGGGTTTCATGAGGATTTATTTTTAAGCCCAGTTTTTTTCAAAAGGAGTTAGATTACTCAAAGCATGGATGATTCATGTGAAAATATGGTGACCACCTCCTCAAGGATTTTTAATCTCTGGTACAATAGATGGTATAATTAGGTTTTCTGCATTAGCAGTACATTTAGCTTTTAATAAAAGCCTACAAGTTATGTTAAAAGTTAATACACACACGCGCGCGCATTTTATGTATAAATCTGTAACTGGCTGAATCTCTGAGGTCTTCTACTCCTATGTTAGTAGACTAGTGAAATACCAAAAAAGCTTAAGTTATAGTTAGAGAAAAAGGTTAAAAAAAATCCAAATTAAGTAGGAAAACACTTATGCATTTTAATTGAGTTCCAAGGCTGCTATCTTGATGAGTACATCAGTATGCGATCGATGAAATGCCTAAAATGTAATCCATCTTATATAGTTGAAGATTTTTTCCTAAGTGCTTTGGTTTTCAGTCATATTGTGTTGTGGGTGGGTTTTTTTCCTGAGCATTTAATACATTTGTACAAAAATTACCGTTTGCCAATTTTGTTTGTAATTAACTCTTTAGATCATACCTCACTCCAGTACGGGATGAAGAGTCAGAGTCCCAAAGAAAAGCTAGATCCAGGCAAGCAAGACAGTCTAGAAGATCTACACAGGTATAGTTTTATTAAAGCTTCTATATTTATGGAAACAGACCCATGTAGCTCCCTGACTACAGTGAATTTTTAATTTCCCAGTAAAGCTCCGAATAAACTGATGGGTCTTCCTGGTATAAAACAATTTGTACCAGGTGAAATAAAGCCTCTTTTTTTCCCCTTTCTTCCCTGAAAGCTTTAGAACCCTTCATTGTGTACTGAAAGTTGCTTTTTCTAATCCCTGAAGAGTGATTTAATACAAATTTGAAAGCACAGACTCCTCCACTGAAAGGAAGTTTTTGATTGCATTATGGTAAAATGGCTTACTCAAGTAATTGAATCTGAAGTTATGTAAATGTTTAAATCTAAGACTTTGAATTCTGCAAGAACTAACAGCTATATGCTTCTGGCTGAAGATTTAATACTTGAGAAATAGGAGTAGCGTACTGTATTTACTTCCATTTCTAAGTCTTTTTTTTCTGTGCATGGACTGTTGAAGATAATGTGATTGAGCTGACCAACATATGGATAGCTAATAAGATCCATGGCACAGAAAAAACCACATTCATCCTAGTTTCTGTGGACACAGAAGAGTACTAAGGAGGAGGGTTTTGTTACTTGCTAATAATCTAGAATCTAACTGCATGTCTCCTTTCAGCATTTCTCTTAGTTTACATACTGATATATTCGGTGGTTCTTCCCAATTTCTGTCAGAACTACCTCATACTGAATTGCAACCAGTGCAGTCCTAACATAGGGAAGGATGTGACAGTGGCAAAATAGATTATCTCTAAATGGTGCTTGAACATTCCTTGGGCAGTGGAGCAATTACCAACCACTATCCCCTGGAGTGTGTCTTGTGTCTGCTGGCAAACTGAGAGTAATCATCAAATAGTCCCTGAATAAAACAGCACAAAGAAATACTTCAGTCATCGTCCTTACCTGCTTTAAGGCCAAGTCGGTATCTCCATTCTTTACTGATGCTACTTTCAAATTTTTGCAGTTTTAAACCCCTCAAATATTTCTGGTTACCTTTCCTATTGAGAGATCCACGCTGCTTGATACAACTTTATCTTACTGGAGTTCTTTTTTACCTCTTGATACTAATTCAGAGCCCTGAGAGATGGTCAAACCACAAGCTAACTATTGTTGAATATTTACAGTGAAGAAGCTATCAGGAACTACTGTATTAAAACATTATCAACACAAAAAGCAATTAAATAACTGATAAGCTGCAAAGTGAACTTTGAAGAATAGGTTATGAAGTGTTTTGACCAGTATCTCACTACAATACATCAGCTGAAAGGTGCAGTAGAGAAAAGCTGTCTTCAAAAAATTGTTTGCTTTCTGAGCTTATTTCAAAACTAGTTTTTAGCCTCAGAATAACAAGGAAATAAGAAATGAGTTGCAACTTTCTCTGGTGCTGTCAATGGAGTTTCATATGTGTTGTTGACCTAAAAATCCAGTTGCAGTGAGTGAATTTGTAAAGTATCAACATTTCTGAAAATTTTATAAGTATTGTATTTTCAGGGTTCTTTCAAAAATATTTAGTATGCTTATGATGATATTGGAAGGATGTAGTGGGTTCTTAAATGATTTCTGTATGATTTTCTGCGTGATCTGTATGTACGAGGTCAACTGAAAATTGTATTGCTGGAGAATCTGTGGTAGATCACATTACAGCAAACACTTGCCACTAATCAAAGAGGGGATGTTTGGTTTTAAGATACGAGAAAAAAAGCTTACAGGTAGAATATATAGGTAACATTTATTTCTTAATGGATAGAATTAATTTTCTTAAGCTGAATTTTGTCTTTAAAATATGTATTTATGTAATGTGATCCTCTACATTGATACAAGGGATATACTGAAACGTTGTTTGCTGACCGCTGTTTTCATAGGGTGTAACACTGACAGATCTTCAAGAAGCTGAAAAAACTATAGGAAGAAGTCGTCCCACGCGAACCAGAGAACAGGAAAATGAAGAAAAAGAAAAAGAAGAGAAAGAAAAGCAAGACAAAGAAAAACAAGAAGAAAAGAAAGAATCTGAAACTAAAGATGATGATTATAGACAAAGATATTCCCGAACTGCTGAAGAGGTATTTTCATGATGGGTCTCTTTAGGTAGAGAAATTACATGAATCTTAAGTCCAACTATAATATTTTAATTTTGGTACTACTATAAGAATTACTTCTATATTTAAATGCTTTAATATCCTGTGGTTTATATTTGTTTAATCTTGGTAGATTAATTGTGACATTTTTCTGCTGAATAGCCATATCATCGCTATAGACCAACTTCAACTTCAACTTCATCATCATCCACCTCTTCGCTCTCCACCTCCACTAGCTCTCTTTCAACTTCAAGTCAACTAAACAGACCAAACAGCCTTATAGGTATAACTTCTGCCTATTCTCGGAGTGGAACAAAGGAAGGTGAGAGAGGTAGGAGTACTGTTTGTGAAGGGTTTTTTTGTTTGTTTTAGTTGACAAAGGGCAGCTTATGTTTCTAAAGATAGTTCAAAATGGGGTGCAATATGTAAGACCACTTGGGGATGTTTCTTACTCCCATCTTCTGTAAGAAATTCCAAAACTTACCTATAGAGAGGAAAAAAGATTTTCTGTACTTGTGCAAACCAGCGTTTTGCAGCTGTTTAATATGTGAATCTGTGTTTTCCATTGGTGGGTCATAGAAATGTCAAATACACTGCCGTCAGTATCCACATAATGCTCTCGTTTCTGCTTTAACACAGCAACTATAATACCACATTTCAGAGTTTAAATAGTTGCAGGTATTGAGGAGGAATTTTACTTGATTAAATAATTGCTAAATATCTGGGGGTTTGTTTCAGTCCTTCCACACTGAAGGACTGGAACGATGCTTTAATGCTTTAAGGACCCGTCTGGGTTTCACGAGCAGCTGAAAACAAAGGGAAGGGGATATTTCCAGCTGTAGTTCAGAGTATTTAATGGAACCATACTTCTAGATACTTAAGTGGTTTATTTAATCTTAAGATGAGGATTAGATGCCTGGTTCAGAGGTCAGAAGCTTTTCTCTGATGTCATGGAATTTTTGCCCTCATTTCAAATGTGAATCACCTGCTACAATTCTCAGAGATGTTGTGCCTGAGTAGTTGCCTGTCAAAGGGAGGAGGCTTTTGACATACAGTGTGATTACCTGTTCTCTCTCGGAGGCATGCCACAGTTATTTGGGAGAAATACTTCAAGTCAAGTTATTGATCAGTAATTTGAATAGGATTACTGATTAAAATTGATGATTTTGTTATACAGAGGTTCAGATTAAATGATCCATTGATCAAATCTCCATGAAGTGTACAGCAGTATTGCCATGTTCCCTAGATTGGTATTTTCTGAGGAAGTTATCGGGGCTAAGCTTCAGTGATATGCTTTCTGATTTTTTCCTTCTGTCCTGTATCCAGAACTGAAATTTGGATTAAGATTCTTCAGTAATGCATGCTTACTCTAGGAAACTCTTTCTAGACTGTTCTATGGAAAAGATTTTCACAGATAAATATAAGCTACAGCAGGGTTTTTTTCAAATTATGACTTTAGGAGGAGAAATACATTACTGTCTGAAAGCCCAGAGGTAAAATCATCATTTGTTTAAGTAGGAAAGGTATATCTTCACCATGAATATATGTATTTCCTTCTTTTCTTTTTAATTCTTGCTTCACACTGAAATGTTTATTTACCTCTGAAGACCAGTGACGGTAAAGTTAAGTTATTGGTGATGCTTCGATCTGAACTCAAATCTGTGGTTTCTTTCCTTAATAAAAGAACAGCAGACTGAATAGACTGCATGATAATAGGTAAATAACTTTGGTTTGGGCAGGTTTGCTTATTTATTTATTTTTTTGGTACAAATGACTTGTAAACAGTAAACATACAGGGGAGCAAACACAATCCTGAGGTATTATGTCGGTTTTGAATTGCAATTGCATTTCTTTTGAAGAAAAAGGAAATCTGTAATATAGTATTAATTTCATCTAGGACATCCCATTTTATTCTTCCTTAGAGCAAAAATGGAGAGGACTGTGATGAAAAGGGGTACTCTAAGGAGGACTTCACAGACTTTTAAAAGTTTTTTTTTTTTAAATACAGAATTCTTGATGTAAGAAAAAACCCCTTATTTGATGAAGAATGGTGAAGAATTGTCTTCTCTTATTTTGTATTTTTAGACATTTACTGACACTGATGTTGTTTGAATTATTGCATGACAGTTTTGAAAATTGAATTTTAAGTCCAATTCATAGTGTATTACTGTTACATTGAAACATTTTGTTTAGTGGCTGAGATGGAATTAGTATTTTGCAGTTGCTGTTCAGGAATTGGAACACTATTTACGGTATTTTAGAGCTATATTCCGAGGACTGTATATTACAGCAAACTCTGTATGTGGTAAGAAGTTCTTTAGCGAATTTATTTCAGGTAAAAAAGTTAATTGTAAGCATTTTAAAGACTGAGATGTATTTCAGAAAATTTTCAGAAAATTAGATTGTGTCATAGTTAAATGAATAAGTAAGTTGTTATTAACAGAAGGGGGCAAAAAAGAGGAAGAAAAAGAAGAAGATAAGTCACAGCCTAAGTCTATAAGGGAAAGGCGGCGACCAAGAGAAAAACGACGATCTACAGGAGTTTCTTTTTGGACTCATGATGTAAGTAAACGATTGCTACTGCTGATTTGTAGCCTTAGCTAGAGTAATACAGTACATAACTAATTGTTCTGGAAACACTGATGCTTGTTCAAGTTAATATATTCTCTGTTTTGAAACTTTCAGGAATAAAATAAAAATTGAGTCTAAGTTCTGTTGATAATACTAAAAAGAATTCTAGAATACTGTGATAACCGTAACTTAATAGGAATTAATCAATCAAAAAAAATAATCATTGAACAATTCTTTTCTATTGCATACCAAAGCTGTAAGAATGAGACTCATTATGTGGCACATTACAAGTAGCCATTTACTTACACCTGAAAGAACTGCTGTCAGATTAGAGGGTTATAGCTGATGTTTCAGCTGATTCCCTTTCCCTTTTCTTTGTCATGGGATCAGTGTGTAATTTTGTAAAAGCGAGATTTTCATGTGCCAAATGCAAGGTCTGTTTCCTCTCTGTCTAGTACTGAAAATAGGTACTTGTCTGAGAATTTTCATCATATATCCCGTATACTCTCTGTACATTTTAGTTAGGTAGAATTCTACTGCTCTTAGATTTTCATATTGAAAGACTAGAATGCCTTAAAATCTCAGTAAGCTTTCAACAGTTTAATTGTTTTTCCTCTCCCACTTCTTTCACCAGAGTGATGAAAATGAACAGGAACATCAGTCTGATTCAGAGGAAGGAACAAATAAGAAAGAAACTCAGGTAATTTCAAAAGGATAATTTATTAACTTTCTAACAGATACATCTTGATTGTGAAATTTCTGTTGCAGTTGGATTCATTTAAAAGAGTACATATGGTAGAGTTCTTGGGAGTGCTTTCTGATTCATAACTTGTGGCTATGGTTCAGTGCCATTTCCTTTGCAGGCTTTAATAACAATTTTTAATGTATTAACAACGGCTAAACGTGATGTTTTTCTCTTCCATTCTGATTATGATAGAATTAACATCCAGAAAATGTAGGTGAAATTTCTGATACATAGGTCAGGGACATGTTGCAGCAAGCTATTGGAGGGAGCTTTCAGCCTCTGTCTTGCAAAAATCTTTGCCTTTGTTCCATCTGCTCTGTTATTTTCAGATAAATTCTGTCCGGTGACTTATGCACACTAATTAAAGACTTTTGAAATTAAACCCAGTGCTGTCAATAATGTAATTAACAAATAATATGAGAAGTTAATATAATGAAACATAGAAGGTTGAAGGGCACAATGTACCTGATTTCTCCATTGAAGAAAATGGATTTCTGAACGTCCTCATTCGGTATTACTAGTTTTGTTAAAAAGTCAGTGGAAAACAGTATAATAGGCTTGATTTGAAGGAAGAAGTCTTTATGAATGGCATGGTGCTGACAGCGGGATGAAGAGGGGTTAAAAGGGAAGTAGTGACTTAAGTTGTACTATAAAATGGTTTAGCAGAAGGTAAACCTTTTGACCCAAACCCTGCAGTAACACACTACAGAATCAGGTTCGTTACTGAGGCATAAAACTCAAGCAATATTTCTCTCCTTTTTGTAAAAGCTTCCATTACACATTCCTTAAATATTTTAGTTGAGAGATTCATTCTGTGCCATTTTGGTTTGCTGTATTTTTTATTTCCGTGTCACATTAACATAAATGCGTAGTCCTATATCCTTAGATCTGTAATTACTCTGAATTCTGTTCTTTAGAAATTCATTTTGGTAGAATGTGCATGTGGTGCTTCTGATAGAATTAGACTCATATAAAACTACAGTGAAATAGTGGTAAGTCAGGCCCAAAATTATGAATATGATCTATGATTAAAAGAGTGGGGGTGTTGGGGTGGGATGGTGGAGAAGCGTAGAATTGGTTTCCTTAATCATGGCTTGAATTAGGAGTCAAAACATTCTCCTGGCCTGTATACTTTCTACAAAAGACTTTGGTAGTTTGCTTTCATTATAAATCAGTATAATATCAGATTTGAGTTCATGGAGAGCTCTGAATTAAATTGAATGCGTGGACCAAGTTCACTGTCACCTAGCTACATAAATTGATTTTGCTTTGTTGATATAAGCTCTTTTGTCACATCAGCTGCAGAAAATATGAAAACAGAGTGAAAGTGAGTTGAATATAAAAATAAGTATTTCATGTGGGTTTAAGTTTTCTTTTCAAATGTTGTCAGACCTACTAAGGAATTTCCAGTATAGTATCAAAATTGTGGAAAACGTCCTAGTCTTGTAATTATTATAATCCTGTTAACTATGAGATATCCTAAAATGGGTATATAATGATGTCATTGTTTTCATATTTCGTATTTGCTTTGCATACAGCTTATCAGATTTAAAACATTATGTAGATTTAAAGTAACTTCCACTCTGATAAACAACTATTTAACATTTATCAATGATAAACTGAGAAGTAAATATATTACTTTTGACAATGCAGTGTTTTGCCACCTTAGAAAAATAACAGTGGAATAGGTCTTGAACATTCTAATAGGCAATTTGTTCCCAAATCCACGGCAAAAAGTGTATTTTTCATTTTTAAGATGCCTAAAGAAATTGCACTTTCCTTTTTGCAGTTGCTAAATCTACTTTCACTTGGACACAAATCTTGAATGCTTTATTGTAGAAATTCATCATTATTTGCTTATAAATCCTTTTAGGTTCTAGGAAGAGAAAAGGAAAAAGATTAATCAACTAGAATTATAATGAGCGACTAACATTGAGGGAATATTTATGCTTTCTCAGTTGTGCTGATTATTTGATATACTGCTATTCAGAAGACAGAAACTTTGGAAATACTGAAATTCTCTGTTACTCCGTTATGTGGTGCTGCTGTTGGTTTTTTTGCTTGGTGAAGCTACAAGCCAGAGGTAGAACATGGTAACTATAAACTTCCCAGGGCTTTGGTGGTAATGGAAGAATTGAAACTGGAGAGAGGAGGTCAAGAACAAGCTTGCACATTGTACAAGCTTGTACCATGCATTTGGTGCATGCTACAAATAAGACCTTACACACAATAATTTCTAGCCTGAAATCTTTAAGGAACCAGAAAAAATATCTTATTCATCTCAGAGGTCTTTGAAACAACTGTCTTGTAAGATTTCAGCTTGTGCTTTCTTGTTCTTCAGAATGGTCTTTTCACTACTCAGCTGATCATTTGTCCATAAAGGAGAGCTGTTAAAGAGAAGTCAGACTTTGCTAAGCACTTTAACAGTTGGAGATTGTTCTAATGAAATTTTATTTAGGCTTTTTAATGTTGAGAGCTGAGAATTTCTTCAATTCACACAAAAAATGCCACGTTACTTAAAGGAAATTGGTGTTCCTGCTAGAAGAATAGTCGTAGAAATAAGTTGTAGGATAGCCGTTTAAAAATAAGGAACCTGAAAGATCACTTTGGCAGCTGTAGGTTTCTAAGTAAGAAAGTGTTTCCGTGAAGCTTGTTTTTCAGTATGAGGTATTTAAAAAAAAAAAAAAAAAAGAGTAGATACTGCAACTGTGATTAGGTTATAATTAAATGGATCAAAATTTTCTTTTGCTAGAGATCAGATATGTGACTTCTGAAAGGTGAAAGCTAGCAATATTAGGATAATAAATGTTATTAGGTCTTCTAATTCTGTAGGAGTAAACATGAGAAACTGGCATTAATGGTGTTGATTAAATGCTGTACTCAAATTTTGTTTCTCTGTTTCACTGCTGTGGCAGTTTTACAGAAACACTCATTTTTAACGGTACAGAAAATTCCACCTGACTTGGATATTTTACCGCCTTTACTAGTAATTATCCTAACCTCACTAAAATGTAATGTGCCTGTCTAGAAATGTAGTGTACATTTTCAAATACATAGTTTCTTTCGGGGTACCCTCATGATCTGTACTGACTGATGGCATAGGGTTAGAAGTAAGTGTTATTTCAGGTTGCATAGGTAAGGATACGTATGTTTTAATTTTTTCATTACTGCTCATGTCCTGCCAATGTAACTGTCTGCTCAGTCTGTTCAGTTCTGTCACTGTACGAAGAACATCCATCTCATGATTTGGGTGCACAGGGATATCTGTGTTTGCATAATTTCTCTCCTCAAGCTTTATGCAAAGTGTGTAGACTTACACATTTTCACAATTTTTTTTCGTCAAATGTCAAAAATTCTGACTGAGCTGAACTGACAGAAATGGAAGATGAAAATAAAGAAAGAAAATAGCTAAGACTGTGCTTAAAAAAACCCCTAAACATGTTTTGTGAAAAGTGAGGGGAACAAGAACAGGCATGTGCCTGAGAAATGTGCTGTTCTTTCAGAGAGGCGTGGAGGCTGGATGGTGCTTGAGTGGCAGAAGCAGGGCTTTGCAGCTTTCAGGGAATGGAAACCGCTGATGTACACTTCTCTGAAGATTACGGAGTCCTTGTCCGGCTTCACAGGTCCCCACCTCAGCCAGGAGAACGGGAATGGGCTGCGTCTGTGTTTTCCTGCCTCTAGTAATGAGTGCTGTCTTACCTCACCAGTTCATTTGTTGTCCCCCTGCGTAGCTGGAAAATTTTGTTTCTAAGATGGTCCGTGTGTGACTTAATAACTTGCCTTTCCGTTTTGGAAGCTATAGTGCAGCAGGGCAATGGAGATCTGGGAGGTTTTCACATTCCCACGGCACCATGGGGAGTCCACTAGAAGCAAAGAAAAACAGCCTTTAGAAAGCGTATTTGTTAAGAAACAATGTAGGAATGGTTTATTTCTTGTGGTGGCTGTCCTACATTGTAGGTAAAGGTTAAAAGGATTGGCTTAGCATTTTTCTGTATACAGCATTCCTTCAAGGTAAAGTCTTTACAGACAAAGCTTCCTCTGTTTTGTTGAGGTGAGAAGAAAGCAGTGGAAAAGGGATTTTTGTAGGTCATTGATTACATGGTGGAATTCTGTAATCTCACACTGATCTTACTTAAACATACAATAATGCAAGATAAGTCTCATACTTATGTGGAAGTTAATCTTCTTGTGGCCAGTAGCTTAAAAAACTATCCATGTATAGGTGTGTGCCACCTAACTGTGACATTTTCTACAAAATATCTTGAATTCTCAGCATTATTCGTGCTCTTAAACAGAAAATAACAATGTTTTATTAGCAGTGGTTAGCTACAGCACGTACTTTTGGTATCTTATGCGTAGTAAATGCACCTAAAACTGTCAAAGGGGTAATTGAGTATGTTGTGGAGACTGTGGCTATTTTCCTCTATGCGAGTTGAAAAAATAGTTTCCTTCTAAAAAAGGAAACCAAACCAACCACACCACTCCCCAAAAAAAGCACCTCGGGAAGACTTCAGCTGCTGCTAGGTAAATAACGATGGAGGATGTCCAGGTGATGATACACCAGTAGAGTTTCTTGTCTGAAATGTCTTCACTCAGGATTAATATAGTTGGAATAAATGATGAATCTGTATTGACCACCCAGAGGGGAAAAAGGTTTGTATGACTGATGTAATGCTTAGAGGGCACTCCCTCACTCTTACGTCATCACTTCTAATTAAATTACGCTTGTCAAGTAAAGTGAGTGAACTTTGTGCCTGTGGATTCACCTGGAATGAATGAATGAGTGAATGAAAGTAACAGAAAAAATTAAATTATGTCTTTTAGATTAAGTCTAATAAATACTTCATTATGTTGTGGTATAGTAGTTTGTTTCCCATCAAACTCTGTTGAAATTATGTTCATGTATTTTATATTATTATTTTGAGCTGAAGCCATTGTTATGGTGACCTTTCAAAACATTATTGCTTATGTTAGAGAAGAGGAAAAAGGAATAGGGAATTCAGGGAACACCGTTCTGATGCCTTTGATAACAGGCAGGCAAATCACAGAATGCACCGACTGCTGAAATGACTCCAATGTTTAGGACAGTCCAGACTTATAGAGTGTAATGTTAACGTCCTATTAAATCATATTTTGGCAAGCACATTCTAGCACATATTTCTTTTCTGTTCCAGACATAACAAAATTGAAGCTTGACAATGTTCAAATAATACATACTGTTGGACAGCGTATGCATTTAACATAACTGTTTAGCTATACTTGTTAACAGATTGTTATGTATTTTATTTACTTAAATTATTGACTTGATCTATTGTTTTTCTCTCTTTTTACCCCTCCCCACCTCAGAGTGATAGCCTTTCAAGGTATGTGCAATTTAAACAAATTAATTTAAAATTGTTAGACTTTTTGTTCACGTATTCTCATTTTAAGTTCTTTATGTGCAAATTCAGCTTAACCCCAGTAGTCAGCTGGGTTGAACTTTAAAAGGTGTTAATGATATTTAACACTTGAATGAAATATGGTTGTAAAGCTACAGTGTGCAATTACTCTAACCTTTATTAATACTCGTTGTAATTTAGTGATTAATAGGATAAAGACTTTGCTGACAATTTGTTTCATAAACTGCTTCTGTTGAAATACTGGAATTCACAACAAATAGTTTTGAAATCTCCTTGGTTTCTGGAATGAAACTTGGAGAATTCATCTAGGCTGATATTTTAGACATTACTTTTTTTAAACCCTTTAATTAAAATAATAATTTTTTTAAAAATGGGTCATCTTTATAAATAAAGAAGAATTAAAGTATCTAAGCTAATGTAAAGTCCTTTAAGACATGTAAATATTTGCTTGAATTAAGTATTTTAATTTAAAAGATTTCTCTGCATACAAGGCAGGGACTTATTTGGCAGACTGAGCAATTTGAAAACATTTTCACACAGAAAATCTAGAAGTACTGAGGGAATGTAAAAATTAAATTTGCATCAAATTAGAAGACAGTGGCTTAACTAAAATACAGAATTGCATCTTGTTGTTTTCAGCTGGGTAACAGCAAATTTGCAACGTTTGATACAGTGAGTGGTCTCAGTTTGAACACAAGGGCAAAGAAAAATAAGAACTCTTCTGTTGCAGATATGATACGGCATCCCTCAGCGTGTCTTCAGGTGATCGTTATGATTCAGCGCAGGGGCGATCGGGATCACAGAGTTACCTTGAAGATCGAAAACCGTACTGCAGTAGACTAGAAAAAGAAGATAGCACTGATTTTAAGAAGGTATCTCGTCCAATAACTTTGGTGTGAAAATAGAACTTTATTATTATTATTTTTCATAAATTGTCTGGAAATAATCTCACATTGCATCACAAATGCTGCTTAAAGCAACTCAGCTGAATGGAGGAGCAGAGCAACCACCACAGTGCGGGAAAACACACATGGCAAAACAGCTTCTGGCATTCGCACTTTTCTCTTCAATGCAACGGAGAAATCCAGAGGAGCCAAGATCCATTTTTATGACATATACTATCATATTATTTTTTTAGTTGATTCTATCATTAAAACTGCTTTATACATATGTGAAGCCCTGCATATGTTTGCTAGCTTACATACATATGATGTAAAAATTTGTTTAGATCTTGCTTTAAAATAGAGGAGGAGTTTCTCGAAAAGTTTACTGTGGTGTCTGATCTGTGAAGTCCGAAGCAAAAAAAAGTGGCAAGTATTTTTTTTAATATGTGTAAGGTAAGTTAAGTGCTCCCTATGCAAAGTTGCTTGTTTCTAGAAATAGTTGGTAACAGTTCTTTAAAAACTTGCTAATTGTAAACATCTTTAAAATTCTATAACTGATTTTTATTTCTTAGACTATTAATGTGTTCATTTTACAGGCAGCTCAATCATGGTTTTGAAATTTATCAGCTAATATCACTGAATTATTATTTGGTGTTTTTTTAAATGAATATTTTCTCTTAGCTTTATGAACAGATTCTAGCTGAAAATGAAAAACTGAAAGCACAGTTACATGATACCAACATGGAACTTACAGATCTTAAGCTACAGTTGGAGAAGACCACTCAGGTTTGTATTAAACAAAAAGGCCTGTACGTAGCTGACAAGGTAGATAGCAAACTAGAAGCACCCCAGGATATGGGCTGCTCTTTACTAGTCATCAGCTTTGTTTCTTGTCCAAAGATGGGAGAGAAGAAGAGTACCTCTCTGCTTCTAAAGAGAAAAGAGCACAGGATTCTGGTCTTCAGCTGTGAACAAAATGTGTGAGACTGCCTCCTGCCTATTTAAGTAGTAGTGGTTCTTGCCAGCGTGTATCTGTAACTTCTTTGCAGGGCAGGGATAAACACTTTCTACACTGTTAAGCTTATAGTCAAACTGCCAGTCGGGATTGATTGATTAATTCATAAACCTGCTGGCAGATCGGCATAACCTGCCAGTTCTTCCTGGCTGGTTAGATAGCTTTATCTTAGAACTGAAGAGCAAATAGTGCACTCCATTTACTGATAACTGCTGGCAGATAAACAGTGCTGCGTACGGTAATACCAGATATGTACACAAAAGTTAAATTCATCTTAAATGGCTGTAGAAAGAATGTTTCCTATTCTCAGATCACGTTTGCCACGATTTACCTGTGTGTAGGTACTTAAGTGTCTTCCATGTCCACCCTGTAAATATCAGTGAAGTACATTAAAACGATGTTTGTTTTGTAATGCTTTTAGATAGAAGTACTATATTGCTTCTATTTGCCAAAGGCTATGTAGTGATTAAATTACTTGGGGATGGTCACAGAGGAAGTGCATGATAAATCCAGTTCATTCTTCTTTATTCTTCATTTCAGTGTTACTTGCCTGAACACACTTTAAAATGCTTTTGAAGACATACTTCGGACAAATACAAAAATGTCCAATTGAGTTGTTTCTCCTCAGTTTTATGTTATTTAAGAACAAGTACTAATGTCTTTATTAATTTTGGTTTCAGAGACAAGAAAGATTTGCTGACAGATCACTCTTGGAAATGGAAAAAAGGGTGAGTTTCTGCCAAAGATCTCTTAAGTACTTCAGTTCAGGCTTTGGTTTAGTTTGTTTTGCAACCCCTGGCTTCGATATATTTTAGTGGGAACAGAAGCCTGCCTTATAACTTGCATTTTTTAGAAGATTTGAGGATTTTAGGTTTCAAAGTGGCAATGAACGTGAGATACTGTGAGCTGGAATTACTCACAAGAATTGCCTTCAGGTTGCCTGTTCGTTCATGATAACCAGGTTCTAAACCCCACTGCCCTACAGGGATCTGCCGCTTGTTCCATCTCATCCAAAACAATGTTGGCACTCCAGAGGGTTAAGCAGATTCAGAGCATCTCATCTTCTAATGCATTTCCAACATTCAGAGACTTTCATTTCCTCAGAGCTTTCCAGAGGCATGCGTGTTGTTTTACCAGTTACTGTTAGTAATGAAGTAGCTGTTTCTACCTCACAGACATGAGACCTCAAACCTGTTAATGATATAAAATTAATTATAATCTGTCTCTTGGCTTGTACTGTAACATTTTCCAGAGGGAATATGATACTGGGGCAGGGAGGAAGAGGGGCATCAGGATCAGAGACAACCCTAAATGGAATGGAAAAGGAGTCATGTAATACATTCAGATATGAGATAGATTACAGGAATTATTTCAGAAGTTTGACACTTGATAATTTTAGACTGTAGTTTCATGCTAGTGTAAAATTCATCCCTATAAAACTTCAGTTCCACAGCACTGTAAAGCAAACTACGTTGGTTTTGTTGTGGTCCTGGCTTCCTTCATGACCCCATCCACATGTTCAATTCTCCTCTCATCCTGGAATGACACATTAGATACTTAAACAGGAAGAAAACTAAATGGACTTTGACAGTAATAAGTGATGTGGTATAGATTTATTTATTCCTGGTAAACTTAACATTCACTAGCCTTTTATGTCTATTTTCCAGTATATGAGGTTTAGAAAACAATTTTTAGTTCTACAAACCTGTCTGGTGTATAAACAATCACTTGGTAGATTTTATAGGAGCACATGGAGATGTAGAAATGCTCTCAGGCACTTCTGAAGTTCTATTATCTTTATCTTAATAATCTCTCCAGATAATTGCAGCGGCCTTTTTGCACCTCGTCGTGATTTTTTGGCATCCTGCTGTAGACAGTGATTTCATCAGTAGAAAAGTTTCAGCAGCAGCTTTAATTGGTTTCTTGCTTGCTATCGTGGCCACACAAGAGAACATTTAATTATTTCATAGACTTAGCGGCGTCCATTACTATATAGGTTCCATACTGCAGAGCATTCCGTGCTGCATAGCTAGACATTATTTCCATTTTAAATTACTGCTTTGCTTTTCCCACAATAGGCCATTGCATTGAAACAACTGGCTATTTTAGAAATTTTTGCATCTTTTTTTTGTAAAGACATTTAGTCCAACAGCAAAATGTCATTCAGAAATGTTACTCTTCGTAAATGTATTGGTACTAAAGTTAGTGATAATGCTGTGTGGCTGAAACATGATTTACACAAGATTTGGGAGATGTTCCTTTTATAAACTTCTTTTCAGACAAGAATTTAAAACAGGAATTTATTTGTCATTGTATTTCCCTTGCTGCTGTTAAAATCTGGAGTTACTTTCACTTTGAAAATGAATGAAGCAGGATTCTCAGCTGCTAGTCATCAACAGACTACATCTCTAGAAATAAACTTACCAAATTCAGTTCAGATTGTGGGTCTTTAGTTTTAAAGACACCTTTTTAATGTGTAATGTAACAATATAAATGTAAAACATAGAAACAAATCGTAGAGCTTTTCTTAAGTATACTTTTCCAAGTATACGACTTCACTAAAATGAAATAGAAAACTGAAGATGTTTATATAAGTTACATAGAGAAAAGGGGAGGGGAACAGGAAAGTGGTGAGAATAAATTGGAAGAAATAAAAGGCTGGCAGACAAAATCCTGAAGGCATCTTTGAACTATGACATTTTCAAGCTGAAACATACCTTTACAGTAAAGAAGATGGGAACATTTATTAAATCTAGAATTGCATAGTAATAAAATTCAGAAAATACTGGCTTTGAATTTTATTTGAACTCAGCCTTCAGAAGTGGGTTTCCATGATGTGATTTGGTGATGCATTGTCAATATTGTCCATTTGAGAACTGTTTACGAGAGAGGGGCTATTTCCATGGGGACGGGGGTACAGATCAGATCACAGATGCAAGGTCCCAGCAATACATAGGCAAAAATAAGGGTTTCATTAACGACCTGTTGCTCTGAAAAGTATGCTAAAAGTCCTTTGCAGAATTTCACATGATGTGATAATAAAACTCAAAGGTTTCAGTCTGAATCAGAATTCAGAATTGTAGTTACCGTTAACCAGTTTTCCCCAAATTCAGAATTAATCATCTGGGAACGTGGGTTGTGGAGAAGTAATTTTTTGGTATTACTGAGTTTACAAATATATGTAGGTATATACATCTGGGTTTACTTCTTAATAATTATATATAAAATAACTGGGGTTAATTTTTCGTCTGTGTATATCTCTGTACCTCAGTCTTACTGCACCAAGACTATGGTTCCTAGTTGCTTTGATAAATACAAATGAGCTGTTGTATTTTATAAGCTGAGAGACTAGGATGGATTTTTTTCATTTTGAGGGTTGCAAATATTCCTTGGCATACCTTACAGAGTTGTTGAAGTATATAATAAAATTTTAGACTGCATAAATTTCAAACCCCTTCTTTGAGTCCAGGGAGTAATCAAATAATACTGGCAGATCTTCCCAGGGAAAGTGCAGTGTGTTATTTTGTTGGCGTTCCTCAAGCCAGTTCGTAAAAGAGTAAGCAGCTCAGGAAAAAGAGAAGCATAGCTTCATCTAATCGGAACAGTATTTTTTTTACAATAAACCTTATATCTGGGCCAGTCCATTTAAATGCTGCTTTTATATAATGTGAAGTATACAGAGTTAATGAAGTAAGGATTTTATTTAATTGGCTTTTATTGTTAATAGTTGTTCTTAAACAGGCTCAACTTGCTAGTTAAGCAAATGCATCAAAAGGGCTAACGATTTTTAGCCATCTGAAATTTTGAGATTTATTCGATCATTCATCTCTTGGTAATCACAGGAATTGTCAAATATTGCTTAATATAAGAGCACTGATAATATATGTTGTTCTGCAAAGCCAGTAGGTAACCGATACAATTCTAAGTAATGTAAGATGGTGTGGGGTTTTTTTTGTTAGTCACTTGCTTACTGCAGTTAACTCGCTGGTACTTACTATGCCCATTACTATCAGTCAGTATCGTTATGGGAAAAGTCTTAACTCGAAGGAGTTGAGTACATTAAGTACTAACAACTGCAGTAATCTGTTACTTTGATAAACCTTTAAAGTTGTTTGCTAAAATGGGAAAATGTTGGGGTATAACTGCACTATGATTAAACTAAATTCAAATGATTTATATCTGAAAGGTGACCGGCAAGAGTCAGTATCTACTGGGCGGTATGATCTAACCAAAGTTTTACACACTTCAGTCAATGCTGCTTGCTGTTTGCGTAACACTGTTGTATGCAGATGCATATGTCCACTTCGCAATAATCTGTTGCTTTTGCCTTTCACACTTTGGAAAAATCTGAATGTAGAGTACTGATAACCGCAGCTGCTTTTAAATGAGACACACTGCATTGTCTGACACAGGAAAGCAAGCAATCAAGCTGTAAACCCTTGAAGTCTATTGCATTAGCTATTCATCTGTCAGATGTGTTGAAAATTAGGTTGAAACGAAATGTCATTTACAAATACGGTAGTGTGTCTGCACTGCAGATTGCAGCATAGTATACAGAACCCTAAGCTAACTTTCAATAAGCTAGCTTGGGTACCGTCATCAGGGTAATCAAAAGGACCTGAAGTTCTCTACAAAGGACAATTTCTCCTGCTTCTCAGGTAAAAAGAAAAAAAAAAGAAAAGAAAACTATACTGGAAATGCAGAAAATACTCAGGAAGCAGTTGCTCAAGAAGCAGGTGGTCTTACGTAGCTAGATTTCTTTGGTACTCAGCTGAACTCCTGTAATGTGAATTTGGGCATATCTACGCTACGTTGCAGTTTATAGTGTGGGCAGACCCCACTGAGCTGAGACAGATGTTTCAGCTACATTTGCTTGTCTATGAAAGCTTATGCTTTTGTGCTTATTTCTTGTAATATTCTTGTTTGTTTCTGATAATTTTCTGCATTTCTTGTATATTAAGCTATTACAGAAGCCTAGCTCTTGAAAAATAAATCCAAAAAAATGGTACTTACAACCTGCCTAAATTTGTGTAAAGGAAGGGGTATATTTTGTAGGTCTTGATGTACATTTCTGTATCTCTTCCTCCTCAGATACCAAAATTCCATATTGACAGAATTTCTATATATCACTGCCATCACAAGTTTCCTGTCCACACTATGCTTTTGGTTGTATGATCTTTGAAATTTGAAGTATTTCACTGTTACCACAGTATTTACAAGCAGTAATTTTTTTTAAATTGTATTGTTCAGTGTTAACACACATCTTTTGATTTAGGAAAGAAGAGCTCTAGAAAGAAGGATATCTGAAATGGAAGAGGAACTGAAAGTAAGTAAACTAATACACATCAAACTATTAATAACAAAGCGTGTGACCGTGTCAGGGCAACGTGTAATCTGGCAGTATTAGTGGTCTCTATAATTTCATTAGCAAATAACTAAGTTATAGCTGCATTTCAAAATCTCTCATGTCACGTAGCTTGTAGCGAAGCTGTTACACCGGCGTAAGCTGCCATACATGTGGGACTTCTAAGAAGGCACTGGGACTTATGCTTCTGTAAGATACTAGCTAACGAGAAATATTCAGAGATGGTTGGAGGGAAACATATCTTGATGTAGTCAAGGTGGAATTGCAATCTATGTTTTTGATGTGATACTCTGTATGTATGCTACCATATTAAAAATAATGGTAGCACATGATTCCATAGATATTTAAGTGTTAAATGTTGCTTCAATCTTTATCTCATGCTCTTTAAATTATGTATTAGACAGCATGTCACCAATATCAAAACTTTCGCTTGTATAGACTGAATAAGAATCAGTTTTTAGTTAACAAAAAGCAGTGGGTAGATTTCACACATTGACAAATAAGTACCATTTATCACATGTACTGATTTCCATTTTTTTTTCAACTATGTATAAACTGAATCTCAGAAGGAGGACACTTTTTTAATACATTTCTGGCTTCTTTCTTTTTTTCAAACCAGTCATGGTATGACTTTTCTCATTTTCTGGTTTATCAATGTTAAGTCCTCTGATATGATTAAGAAGGGTGAGAAATTTGGCAGGTTTGATGTGTATCATGTCCTTGGATGTAATATTGGACAGGGTCAACCAAACTGATAGAATTAAAGCATGACTAGAAAACTAGTGGAACATGATGAAATAGAAAACATTGTCGCACTCCAAAATTTTAAAGAAGTACCACTATGTTGATGTTTGGTATTTGTCATTGAATTAATAAAAAGTTTCCTTTCAAGCTCATTTTTGAGCTCCCTCTGGTGCTTGGAAATGGCATTAACTTCCAAGTATTTTTCATTCAAATCCATGCACAAAGATTTGTTGAAATAATTGAAGCTGGCAAGCAGATGTATGCAGAAGGAAACCACCATGCCTCTAGCTCCCTTGGGTTCAGGCCAAGAGAGTTCGCCCTAAGGGAGGACACAATGTCTGTGCGGTTCCTTGAGGGGTCTTTAGAAGTGAAATGTGTAGAAAGCAAACTATGGTGGAGAAAAATAATTGTGTCTGAGAGTGGAAGACAGGATGTGAGCTTCTCACATCAATCTGTCAATTCCTGTCAGAGAAGATTGGGCTTCTGCGAAAAATAGAGAATGCAAATATATAGCCTTTTTTCAAAAGCTTACTTTCAGCAAGCAATATGTAAAAGTTTTGAATTAAAGATTAAATACTCTTCCTATCATTTGTTGCACTGCTGTGTAAAAGTATGTGTTAAATGTGTCATTATTTACAGACTTTTGAATAGGAGATTTCGTTTGTGCAATTAGGATGTTAAGTAAAGAATTCCAGGAATAGCTCTCATTGTTAATGTATCCTGAACTGTTTTGGAAAGCTGTGACTAATCACTGCTGGTTCTTAGACTGCTTTTCAAGAATGTGCCACTTGTTTGATACTTTCCTTTCACAGCGACTTACCTACTTTAAACAGGACTGTCTCTTTTAAGTTTTCTTTCGATTCTGCTCATCTCTAGTTCTTTTATACATAATATACATGGTTTTTTTTTTCTCATTTTCACTCCTATTTCTTTGATTCCTGCAGAACCTGCAACAAATAAAGCAGATTCAATCTTTGAGACACATAAATGAGCGACTGGTGACTGAGAATAGGGCCTTGACCCGAGTGGTTGCCAAGCTGTCAGGGTCCTGTAGGCAACTGCGCTCTGTGGACTCGTAATTTCTTCCTTCTTTGTGTAGCCAGGCAGGTGTTGACATTCAGTTTGTGCTTGGGTAGAATTTTACTATTAACACTTGTGTGCCAGAAACTGACTTACCACTGCTCGGTTATGGAAGTGTGGCTAAAGCATGGTGTCCAGCGTAGCAACTACAGGTGTCGCAGATGCATTGGTATGGTGTGGTATTTGTCCTTACTAGCACTGAAGCTTGTCCTCCCTGACTTGAAGATAAATGGGCCATGATCCAGGAGACCTTTGACATGTTAAGACCTTGGCAACAATTGAAAGGGTTTGAGTTTGCACTAGGATACACTGAAGTCACTCCCTTGTTTTGAAGTTTGAGTAAATGCTCAAATAGATTTGCCTCTAGTTTTCTGACAAATTGAAATTAAGAATAGAGCTTTCTTACTGCGGTATGATTGAAGTGCATAGAATTGATACAAATCTAGTCTCAACTAAAGAATGAGAAGGGGGTTCAGTACTGTGCATTCCTGAACACTTGCATTAGCAGCTTTTTTTCTTAATTTGTCTGTTTTAGTGTTTAGAGGGGACCAAAGTCTTTCCTTTAAAAATGTATCAGAGTTTCAAGTCAATTAATGTTTTCAGATATTAACTTCCTGTGTGGTTCTGGCTAATCCTTATTTTTATTTAGACAGCTTAACATACCCAGTTTTAGCACTGAGTTAAGGTTATTGATTTATATTGCTATATATGCAGGCATTCCAGTTGTGGATCAGAATCTTATCATGCAAGGTCTGTACAAACACAGACACAAAAAGTCTGCCTAGTGTGTCAGATTGGTTTGTACATACTAGGTCATCTGGTTCACTCCCCTTCTGTTAAAGGTATGAACTGTTTTGAGTTTGTTCTTGGAAAAAAAAAATGCCAGTTTGTTGTCCTTAGTGTTATTGCAAGGCTGTTTCAGAAACCCACGGAAGGCTCAAAACTTCTATGAGGAAAAAAATGTGGTTTCATTCCAATTCTGTATGACTTTCTTCTTCCTCTTATATAAAAACTGTATAGGCTGGAGGTTTCAGTGAGCTTTTAAGATGTGTAGGTAAAAAAAAAAAAAAAATTCTTCTGCACAGTGACTCTTGCTAAACTGCTTCCCCTCGCCTGTCCCCCTTCCGCTTAGAGGCAAGGCAATGACTGTATATTTTTTCATTCTGCTCAGAGTCCGATCTCAGGTTTTTGCCACTAAGAGACATGAAATAAAGAAGGTTTATCCTTTGGCTTTGTGTCTTCCTGGAGTTGATATAACAATAGGATGTGGATAGAAAGGTTGTTCCTGGTCCAGGCCCTGCATTCCTCAACCTTCCCTTGTGTTAACCCTTGCTGAGCAAGTCGAGTCAGCTCACTGACCTGGCTGAAAACAAATCCCTTTATTCTTTCTATTACTTGAGCCATCTCACTCCAGTGTTGTTGAATCGCTGAACCAACATGCAGAAAGCAGCAGGAGGATACAGCTGCGTGCGAAGGGAACGCTGTCCCTTTAGGGCAGCCTGTCTTACATCAGCTTCAGCCAACAATGTGGTTTTTCAACACATTAGCTGAGCTAATCTGCTGACTGCTGTCCTCAGCCACACGTCCATACCATCTTTTTTTGCTAGCACTGGCATTCCTTTAACCATGGTAAGCCAGTTCAGGGTGTTAACCCATGGAAATCTATTCACTATTCCTTTTTGTAGGGGGAGTTTTCAACAGCAGATAATTGTGGTGCTCGAGCAGCTAGGCTAGCAAAAGAAAAGCAATGGAAACACAGCAGGGAGGCTTGACGTTATGATGGTAGCTTAACCATAGCAGTGTGCCTGATTAAGCTGAACAGGTATCTTAACAGTTCTTGAGCTTTTTATAATCTTAACTTACAAAGCTGTTTTGTATGTAAAAACTGTTAAATCTTCCAGCAAACACAGTCATTATTACTACTGTACAGATCTGAGTTGGCTCCACGCATGTCAGGTGATTATTGAATAATTATTTGCTCACCTACAGAACTGCAAAGTTACTAGTTAGTCATATAAAACAGATAGGCAAAATAGTGCATTTGTAATCTTATTCAAGGGTCTCATCACAGGAAGACACTTTGCTAATTTAGTGAGAAGCAAATTGGAATTGAAAGTGTTAAGTACAGTATCTAACTAATTTTACTGGATTTGCTGGAAAGCTTTTTTTCCCTGCCTCTGCACATTAAAGGTGTGTGGTGTCACCTCATGAGAAGTTTGAGTACCTGTTGTGGTTTAACCTGGCCGGCAGCTAAAACAACCACACAGCTGCTCGCTCACTCCCTCCCCCGCAGTGGGATGAGGAGAGAATCGAAAAGAAAAAGAAAGGTAAAACTTGTGGGCTGAGATAAAGACAGTTTAATAGGATAACAAAGGAAGAGAATAATAATAGTAATAACAATAATACAAGTGATGCACAAATGCAGTTGCTCACCGCATGTGAAAGGAAAATAAACCAACCCTATGCCCAGTCTGTTTCCAAGCAGCGATCCCACCTCCCGGCTCGCTTCCCCAGTTACATATGGACCATGCTGTTCTATGGCAGGGAATATCCTTTTGGCCAGTCTGGGCCAGCTGTCCTGGCTGTGCTCTCCCAGCTTCTTGTGCACCTGGCAGGGCACACTGAGAAGCTGAAAAGTCCTTGACTTGGTGTAGACGCAACAAACTACCTAGCAATAACTAAAACATCAGTGTTGTTACTAACATTATTGTCATCCTAAATCCAAAACACAGCACTATACCATCTGCTAGAAAGAAAATTAACTCTATCTCAGCTGAAACCAGGACAGTACCATAGGAATGCACTGCTCCAAGAATATTGTACAAATGTCTTTGGCTAGGTTTAAAGTATGTGGGGATTAGTATAGATGGGAAGCATAAGTATTTTAGGTTACGTGAGCTTATCCTTCCTGATCAATCTCCTGTTACTCATAACTGCTTTTGTCTCCTACCAGTCTTCCTTTATTCTTTAGCAGGCTCACAACAAAAGAGAAAATATTTTCTTAATACATATTCTACCTGTTAGTTTAACCAGGATTAAAAGTCCATCTACAGAGATTTGCAGCCATGTAATGGTACTGGATTATGTTAAAGCTCTAAATGTGAACAGCGGCTCTGTTGTTAAAATAGCTCACCAGAAAATATACCGGTCTGTGGGTCTGCCTGTGTGTAATTAAGCGTTATTGGCTGCAAGTCCCTAGTCAGTGAGCTGAAAGCGAACTGTGAAGTTGACTTTGAGGTTCCATTGAAGGTGCACCTGACACACTTGCTAAGATACACAAGTAACAAGAACAAAACCAGGCTCTCTTGCTTCCTTGTGCATAGCTAGATGAAGGCTGTTGTGGTTTCACCCAGGATCTTTGATATGAAGACCGTAACAGAACAAAAAGGAGGAAGGAAAGGTGTTAGTTTCCTTCCCTGAACTAATGGCTGTCATTGTTTTGCAGATACATGTCATAGAACAGCCCCAGGTTTATCCTAATATTACAGGTGCACGCACAAATGCACGGTACACACGCCTGTTACCTGGGTATGAGCACGTGTATCCCAGACAACAGTAGCTGGTTTTTACAACTTAGAAAACTTAACACAGATAATACTTGAAAATTGCCAAAATTATTATTTGTGTTGCCCAATTTCAAACACCTTGGCGTGATTTTTGAAAGTAATCAGCATTTTACAGCATTTTCTGTTCAGAGCACAGCTCTCGGTTGAATATAATGGAAGCTTCCCTCTGACTCTGTGAAGAGCTCGCTTTCAGGGGGCTTGCTGTAAGCTCCACCATAGAGCAGAGTTGGAACCCACGTTAGCAGAACGATTTTTACTTACTCTAACTGTGGAGGCCACCTTTTTTCCTCTTACGATCTCCTGTCGTTTTCATTTCACGTATTCTGATATTGGCAGCTAAATAAAGTAGAGATCCTATAACCTCAGTCATCTTCAGTGCACCATCGTGTTTTACTCTGTGAGAGGGTCTGCTCTTTGGTGAGCTGAATGTGGACAGGAATTCTTCAGAGGAAAAGGGTAAATGAAGCCTCTAGTGTAATGCACAGTTAATTAACTGCATTTTTAAACTTCTCCGTTTTTTCTGTTCTGTTACTATTTTCTGAATATAATGGGTTGAAAGTATAATTTTGTTTGAATAAAATGAAAGCAAAACTAGCAGCAAGGAAATGTCATCATGAAAAATTATGCAGTAGTTGTTACATCGGTCACCAGCTGGACTTAGACCTTTTGCATGCACTTGCACCTGAGGTTGCTGAGTAACCGCTCTGCAGGAATAGGCTGTTACCTCCTGTGTAAACCTGCTGCTAGAAACCATACACATAATTTAGCCATGAGTATTACAGGTGGGTTGTTATCAGTGTGTGAATGCAGATGTGGAGAACTGCTGAGATTACTTCTGGCTTCTCTGACAAGTGATATTCTCGCAGTCCAAACCTCTGTGCGCTGACTTGTCCTCCTTTCCTGTCTGATCTTGTCCAACTCTCACCTCACTTGGCTTCTGCCTTCCAGCTTTTGTGCTTGTGTGTCACCCACCTCCTGTGGCAACCTTAACTTGCCATCTCCTAACCTGTAGGCCCGAGTGTGCAGCCTGGCGTCTCGGGGATCTCTTTCAATGATCTGATCTTGTGTGAACCAAGCTATTCAGGGATATTAGCTCAAATGATAGGATGTGTGCCTCGACACAAGTTTGGAAGTGGTTGGAAGATTAACGCTATGAGCTAACAAGCTGAATCACACTGTATCTGATCAGGATGAAGTCATCCAAGAGCACAGTGGTAGATGTGCTTAGCCACAGCATGTTCTTTTGAAACTGCAAGTGTGGTATAGACTAGCCTCTTTAAATTGTTGGTAATTAACTTTGTTTTGTTTTGTTTTGCACTGAAATTTGAAGCATTTAAGTAGTTTCCTCACACTACTATAAATGCTTTTGTTAGAGGCTTGTCATTTGCACTACCAAGATTTGGTGCATCTAATCCAAGCAAATGAGAACTCCTAAAGGATGCGATTTTTCTGAACTGCTGATACAGGGGGAGAGATGCTTAAGCTAAATAAAGTTTTTTATCCTCAGTGCTTGCCTAGTCTTGCTGCTTTTACACGGGGTATAACAGCAAATAACCATTGTGTTTCATTTCTCATAGATGCTACCAGACCTGAAGGCAGACAACCAGAGGCTAAAAGATGAAAATGGGGCCTTGATCAGAGTTATAAGCAAACTTTCCAAATAAAGGGTTTACGACAGCAGCAAATAACGGTATTGCACATCACTAGTAACTCCAGTGGACCACAGTATGGCAGTCACTGGAAGTGTGGGAAGATCCCTTGGAGACTGTCATTTTCAGATATCCTGCCAAACGCCCTCTTACCTGTGTGTTTTTTTGTATCAAGATCATTGTTTCTGTTAAAATGCAGCTGCTGAGAAGATAAAATGACTGAGAAATCTTGTTTACAGCTACAGCATAATAAGGAAAGTGTTCAAGGCCAGATACGCCTCAGATATTTAACCAGTAAGCCTTAGTTGTACATAAACACTTTTACATCATCAAAAGCTTTCAGCTCTCACAGAAGACAGTTACTCAATAATGTTTTTGTTGTGCCACAATTCCCAGTTTTTTTCTATACTCAGTTTTTCTTTAAATCTTAAGTTTGGATTTTTGTGCTCCCTTCTAATTATTCATGTACCAGATTTTCTTGTACAGTGTTTTCACAGCTTTACCATTTGCAGAGACCACACACCCTTTTAAATTACATATTTGTGTAGCTACCTAGAGTTGTATTGTCCAACCACCTGGAACAGAGATGTTTGGTGGAACATTTGCTTTCACTGTTTGTGCAATATGCATTTATTTCCTATACAAAATGCTTTAAAAGTCAGTTGAAACTAGAAATATTTTAAGAGTCCTGTTTTCTGCCTTTATTGGTCACTTTAAAAAAAAAAAAAAGTTTGTAGTGAAAGACGTTAGATCCTGTAATCGTCACATTCATTTGAGCAGGTACTGAGTGATGCTGTATATATAAATGTGTACTGGTTTGATTTTTCAGACCACCACGTGGCATGCTTGAATATATTTCCCTATTGCAAATGTCTGTTAATGCAAATTAGGCTACTCCAGAATAGTGTGTTTAACAAAGTTCATTAATTTTTATGGTATAAAGAATTTAGACATTGTACATTGTATGGAGCCCTATCTTTACAAAAGGTCTAAACTATATAAAATACTTTATTATCTTTTCCTCCCCTTTTTTTTTTCATTTGATAGTGTTCACCATAATAAAATTGCATAAATATAACTGCTTCACTACATTTCACATACCTGTATTTATCTGAGTGCTGTCCAAAACTGTTGTGCTAGCCAAAGTAATGTACTAAATCATTTGAAAAACATAACCCATTACACTCACATTAATGTTTATATGCACTGTTGTTGCCATGTGAGAAGGCATCCGATTTGATAACACCATCCTGTCAGACCATTTTATACATTTCAGTGGCCTTTAAAAACAAAACCAGTACTTAAGTGAAGATCGCTTTTGTTAGAAACAGCTTTTATATTTTCACTAAACCATTCAAAATATGACATCCTATTGGCACATCGTTTCTTGCCTAAAACCACTGAACAGATCAGCCATTAAAACAAATTGTACATTGTAAAGCTTGTAGTAGCTATTGTATTATTGATTATATTGTATACTATACTAAATGTGAATTTGTACCCCTTCATTTAAAAAGGTCATTGTGTTCTACTGCCTACTTGGGAGGGGG